TTAAACATATTTTAGTTGACATTTCTAAACAATTAAACATATTTTAGTTGACATTTCTAAACAATTAAACATATTTTAGTTGACATTTCTAAACAATTAACCCCCCCCCTTTAGAAACCTTCCTAAATAATTTTCCTTAATTAGGAACTTTCCTAAGCAACTCTCCCCTTGATTAGGAACATTCCTAAATAATTTTCCTAAACAACACCCTCTTGATTAGGAACCTTCATAAACAACTACCACTTCATGGTTGTTGGGTCCCCTAGCATATCAGATTACTTCTCCCACATGCATACAGATGGACCTGACCTCATTAGGATTTTTCATTATAGTTTTTATTTCAAAATTTGAAAGGTTTAATTTGTTTTCTTGTTTAGATGATTATGAGATCATTCCATAGAAAGCTTTTTTAGCTCCTGTGTATGATAGCTGAATGTTTCATGCTTGGAATAAAAAGAAATTCTATCTTTGTTATATGGTATAAGAGAATCTCTCCTCTGATTTCATCCCTCCTATATGACAATATGAAATGGCGGCTAACCTTTAGCCTTTGTTTGAGGTAACTTTAGGTTTAATATTTGTTATTTCTTCGGGAAATAGAGTAACCGAAAGGAGTTATTTTGTATAAAGATCCATAAGCAATCTATCAATATTGTAACTTTTTATCTATCAATAAATTAATTTGTGATTATACCTTTTGTGCTTAATTTCTTCTTATTATGAGTTTTGGGATTTGGATTCAAGGAAGAAGGTTAACAATCATCAACAACAACAACAAGCTTTTATCCCACTCTGTGGGATTGGCTACATTAATCATTTTTTCTCCATTGTGTCATGTTAAGAGTCAAATTCTCATCTAAATGTAATAAAGAAATGTCATTTCTAATATTTTCTAACCAAGTCTTTTTAGGTCTACCTCTACCTTTTATTAACATAAGTCAAATCTAATACGTCTACTTTCCTAATCGGGTCATCGGAAGGCCGCAGTTTTATGTGACCAATCCATCTAAGGCGACTCTCTAATCTTATCTTCCACTGGAGCTACTCCAACCTTTTCACATATATGCTCATTTCATATCATGTCTCTAAAAGTAAAGCTACTCATCCACCTGAGCATCCCCATCTCTGTAACACTTAACTTAATATTAACTCTACCGCCTAGGTTTTCCACAGGGAAGAAGATTAATAATGTATAGGTTTATTAATAACTCTACCGCCTCCAATGTGACATTTCATTAAGGCACTAAACTTTCACAGCCACGTCTACCATTAATATAGATTATGATCACATGTTATCACTATCATGTTTGTCATTTAAATTTCGGGTATCTTAAGAAACTTTTTTCTTAGTTATTCAAAAATAAAATTTATAAAAATTATTCATATGAAGTTTTTCATTTCTCTAAACATACTCTACAACATTATACAAGGATTTCTCACAAAAATACTCATCCATTCTCCTTAATTCTCTCTGATATTTGGAGACAATCTAGAGTAAAAAAATTAATTGGGACAGGGTGGTTTATCTCCTTCAGAGATGATTATGCCAGAGTGACTTGAATATTGGTTATGAAAGAAAAATTAAAAAATCATCAAATATTCCTAAATTTCAACACTATGGTTTGAATCCAATTCCAAAACAAAATATAAGTATTAAAACTGACCATACTCAAAAATATTTCTCCTATCCTAAGATAATATTTATTGAGTCAAAGAATAATACATCAAAGCTCTTGTGTTGAGACATCTTAACAATGGGGTGGCTGAGAGAGAATAAGCACATGCTTGTGTTGTCGGATTTCTCATGTTCATCACCCATGTCCCTAAACATTTTTGGGGAGAGGTAGTATTAACTCCTGCCTACCTTAGAAATAGAATATCCTACTTGATTCTTTATTAAGAAGCTCCTGTACATTTTCTCTTAAACTCCTATCCTAACATTAGAATTGTTTCAACCATTTCCATAAAATTTTTTGGATTTTTTTCATATTTTCATATTCATTCCTATAATTGCAGTAAGCTTGATCTCAAATCTATTAAAGTATATTGATGGGATATTCATCTCATCTGAAAGGATGTAGGCATTATTCTTCTACTACAAAGCGCTTTTACAGCTCCATGTATGTTACTTTTCTTGAGTAACGACCTTTTTTCACCTAACCTAATATTTGGGGGGAGATTTTTCTTAATGAATATAAGCTTTTAGACATTATTTGTATTGTTGAAACAACTTTGGACATTTTTTCTTATGACATTGTTAACTTCCAAGATAACATTTGACCACCAAATCTAGTTTTCTATTCTTCTAGTATGTTCGTCCAACACAAAAATTTAAGTTTGTCTGTGTATTCGAAAGAAAATGAAACAGAAAGGAATTGATCAACTTACCGGCTATGAACAAATTTAGAAGTCCAACCCAAGTTTGTTTCCTTTAGAAAATTCTCGAGGTAAGAACCTATCTGAACCTCCCATCAACATTGAATTATCAAGTGAAGAATTAGAAATTTCTATTGCCTTGAGAAAAAAGTGAGATTATACACCAATCATTCTAAACAAAAATTTGTTTCCTATGCTAATCTTCTCTTGGGCTTATATTACTTTATCAACAATCTTAGCCAAGGTGATTTTCCAAAATCTATATACGAGGTTATAAAAATTCCTTTATGAAAATTTATTATCACGAAGGAAATACAAGCCCTTAAAATGAATAAGACTTGGAATACTGTTGGATTACCACAAGAAGAAAAGCAATAAGATACATGCCAATTTTTATTATTAAATACAAGGCAAGTGGGAGTATAAAAAATAGCTTAGCAGGTTGTGAAAGGGTTTACTCAATCTTGTGGCATTGACGATCAGAGACAATTGCCCCCCCAGTAGCTAAACTCAAACACTATTCAGGTACTCCTATATTTAACAATAAATTTAAATTGGTTTATTTAGTAATTGAATGTCAAAAAAATATTTTTAAATAGTGCTCTGGAAGAAGACATCCACTTGGACAGTCCTCATAGGTTTCACATTCCTGCAAACATCAAAAAAGTTTGCAAATTAAAAAAAAAAAGTTCTATAGCTTGCAGTATTGTCCACTAGCGTGATTTAATGAATCACAGATTCATTGATGTGTTCAAGCAATATGGATACGCTCAATATGAAGCTGACCATACTATATTTATAAAGGGATTGCTTAAAGGTACATCTTGCATTTTGATTGCATATGTTAATGATATTATTCTTATAGGAGACTCCAATGAAGAAATCAATAACATCAAAGGTCTTCCAGCAACAATTTTTTAAATAAAAGACCTACAAATCTTAAATATTTTTTTTGGCTTGAAAGATGCTAGATATCATAAATTGATTACTGTGTTACTCATCATGAATATATGCTTGATTTCTTAAAAGAAATAATAATGTTGGGATGCAAAGCAGAAGGATCCAAACATCAAATTTGGGATGAAAGATGATTGTTCCCCATTAACAAAGGACAATATCGAAGACATGTTGGGGGATTTATTTATCTAGATATTGAGTTTGCTATTAGCATGGTCAATCAATTCATGAATTATTCTATAGAAGATTATATGGTTGCTATTTTTTAAATCATAATATATCTAAAAATGACTCCCCGTAAATACCTATTTATTTTTAGAAAAATTCACAAAGAAAGATTGAAGTTTTCACAAATGCTGGTTAGGCATTCCAATTATAGACCGTCGGTTTACTTATGGATACTGCACTTTTATGTGGGGAAACTTCGTAACTTGGCATGGTAGAAAGCGATATTTTAATATTAGAAGCAATGCTGAAGTAGAATTTAGAGCAATGGCCCATGGTATTTGTGAAGAAACGGATTAAAGAGACTTCTTAGTGAAGTATTTATGTTAGTGGTTGAACCATGTCATATGTCATGTGACAATCAAGCTATAATTTGCATTGCTAAGAATTTTGTATACTATGACCAAATCAAGCATATTAAGGCAGATCACTACTTCATCAAATAAAAAATTGATAACAAAACTGTGGCTCTTATGGAATTATTGTTATCTTCATAGGCTCTTCCTAGAATTAATTTTAAAGATTTGTTTTCCAAGTTGAAAATGGTAAACATTTATTATCCAATTTGAGGAGTCTTGATTATTTCGTCATCTAATAATCATAGAAATCAAAGGAGTGCATCCCAGTGGAATTGACCATGGATGCTTGTATGGATTCAGGGAACGAACTACAATGGTATTAAGCATAAATGGGAATTGTATACGTGGTGGAATTATTCATATAGCGACTTGTTTACACTTCAAGAATTTATCATTGACAGGAATTGCATATAGTACTCCTACTAATTGCAATTCACAGGTAATTAGAGAGTGCAATACATGACGTTTAAGCTAGCTTTCTCATAGCGATTACTTCCTTCCATATGTACACAAATGGCTCTTGCCTTTTTTAGTTTCATTAGTCTTTATTTCAAATTCTGTGAAGTTTTGCTTTGTTTCTTGTTTTGATGATTATGTGATGTTACCTTGGAAAGCTTTTGAATCCCCATATATATAACCGAATCTTTTTTGCTTGGAATAAGAAGAAATTCTGTCTTCTCTATTTATCTACAAAATGAATAGCAGCTAATTCTACTCTTGACTCTAGTCATGCACAAATTTCAAAAATATACTGCATTTTATTTAGAGTTGTTATTTGCTTCTTCAATAAAACCATCCGAAAGCTTTTTTTCGCTGTGTTTTGTTTACTTTGTGCAGTGAAAACTTTGTTATTTGAATTTGTTTGGTTAATGTTCTGATTTTTCATGATGTTCCTTACCAACAAATATGTGCTGTATCTTGTAATGCTTGCCATATTTTGACCAACGTTTTTTGATATTCTTGTTATTACTTTTCATGTAGATGACTCCCCTTAACGGTGATATATTACTGCTTTAAGCATCCTTTTGGACATCTTAATAACTGTTTGCTTATTTGTAGATGTTTTTTTTTTGTTGTTCCTAGTGGACATTTCATCCATTCGTATATCATAGCAAGCGTTTTTACACGGTTCTGCTATGGCCAAGGGTGTTGGCGTGTCTTATTGTGAGTTCTAAAGATATCTAGAGTACTTCTTGGTCTTTGGTTAAAACTGATTAGCCTAACGTAAGATCTAACCTTAGATTGTGTTCCTTGCAGGTTTGTCAAATGCTACGGATCATTACATTCTATTCCACTATACTTCCTGGTCCTAACTATCACTGTCGTGAGGTTAAACTTTTCTTTAACAACAGTCAGTAGTAACGAGTGATAACTTTTTGCATCTTAAGAGGATTATGACTTTAGCACTTAGTTACAGATTAGAAAAACTACAATTTGAAGTTCCTTTTCTCTGTAGGGCTCACCACTTGCCAGTCTGCCTCCTCCCAACAGCATATTTGAAGTGCTTTTTATTAATTGTATGCTGCAGACTTTTGAGTCTTTCAAAGAATCACAAGTTTTGCTAGTACTTGCCATCAGTAGCTGCGTTATCTTATTGTCTGTAACTTATCTATAATTCATGCTTGCAGTTCCTCGAGGAGTCGTTTATGGATGTGGTGATTTGATATTTTCATCTCACATGATTTTTACACTAGTTTTTGTCAGAACGTATCACAAGTATGGATCTAAGAGGTAATTTCTAACAGTGCTTGAATAAATTATGCCTTATTTCCTTATCTTGCCAATGTAGTATAATTAACATTCAGATTCAGTTTCCATAGCTTCTGATCAGTCTAAAGGTTGGCCATTTACTAGGATATATTTTTTATTTGGATACTCATGCAGGTTTGTCAAGATGCTTGCGTGGGTAATGGTTATTGCCCAGAGTCTGCTTATAATTGCTTCTCGGAAACATTATACTGTTGATGTGGTTGTGGCATGGTAAATATCAAGTGTTGGTCCGGTTTACCAAATATATTCCTATTTTCATTTGGCTTCCTTTTGGTGCTAGGTATACTGTAAACTTTGTGGTTTTCTTAGTTGACTCAAAACTACCAGGTTTGCATTTTTTTTTTTTTTTTTTTTTTCCGAACATGCCATATTTTTCATCTGGTATAAACTGTATATGCAATCGAGATTATGAAGTGAAATCTTTTTCTTTTTTTTTTTTCTAAATAGAAATGCCCGACCGTTCTGGTGGAAACCAGGCACTGCTTCCTCTGAGCGCAAAGGAAAAAGAAAGTAAAGCCAAAGAAGAGAACCACAAGCTATTGAACGGGAACTCTGTTGATGCTACTGATTGGGTATGAAACTTAACTTCAAATTTGATTTCGCAAGGCTGGCTATTGTGTTGTTAAATATATGTATTTTTAGGGTTTAGAAATGCTGTGCTTAGGAATTGGATCCTTGTAGCTTTGTTGAGAATCGGAGAGTGAAGAATAATTTCTCATAAAAAAATAAAATATGCACACGTTATTATTACCCGTTATTTTAGCTTTTAAGGCTTCGTTTGGGGCGGCTTTATTACTGCTTCTTAAAGCTACTTTCAACTAAAAATTTGCTTTAAGAAGCAATAAGAAAATCATCCCAAATAAAATCTAAATTAATGGTGTGCTTCCATTGATATATAAGCTCAGCTTTGACCATAGCATCGCACCCTATTAAATTTCTTGTAGAGGGGGATTTCATTGAAATCTACATGATTGTTTCTTGTGCATCAGTGCTTCTCGGCGTCTTTTTATTTTATTACATTTTTTTTTCTAAATAATATTATTCTTTCATGTTTAATGTTCAGCAGAGGCAAAGAACACAAATTAATGGGAAGCATGTGGATCCACATGTTCAGTCTGAGTCGACAATAAATGGGGTTTCGAGATGAGAGTGCTTCCAAAGAATTATATATATATATATATATATCATTGGCTATCGCATGCATGCATGAGACTGCTATAAGTAATATATCTTATTTGTTCTAATGGTGAAAGTAAATTATTGTGTTGCACATTTGCTCAACAGACCGAAGGTCTGTGTGCTGCATTGCAGTCTTAAAGGTGACGCGCGCTAATGTAACTAACCATCACACAGTGCTTTGCAATCATTTTGTTTCAGCTGGTGTTCTTTGGTTTTTGGCTGTTGGCAATCAATTGATACCATGGCCTTCTTTGGTATGCCAAATTTGCTTTTAGACAATAGATGGTTGAGATTTACGCTTGATATGGCTTGTGAAATTATATGATCAAGCATGAATTTTTTGCAATTTTTTTTTTTAAATTAAAAAAGTGTTTCATAGGTTATTCTGCCCCCTTTGTTTCTCCTACATGTAACCCAATGCATAGGGCTATTCTTGGACTCCTTTCTTTCTTTAACTTTGACTTATTATGACATATTTGTTTTCCATAAAGAATAATAATCAAGGTTTCGCAAAGGCGTTATGATCTGAAATGGCAACAAAAATTGCATGCATTGTTGCCATAAAAAAAAGTCGTCACTTCGAAACACTTGAACAAATCAATTATTTTGCTTTGCTTTTAGCTTTATTCTCAGAAAACTTAAAAATCATTCTTTCTTAATTACTTTAATCTCTAGTTCCTGGATCATTCCATTGGATTTTTTCATAGCTAGGAATGTCAATCTCAATCTTGAGTTAGGATATTTATTTTTTTAACAAAATTGTGAGATAATGGATGTGAAGAGTGATCGTGCTTTAAAGAGATCAATTCGAGAAGCATCTAGTGTTTGCAATTGATTATAAAAGCTATTTCGAGTGATGTTTTTTTTTCACTTAAACTCTTATAACATGTTGTAATTTATATAATGAATTATATTTTGTGTGAAATTATTTCTATAACTAACTAATTCTTGAGTTTTGGACTTATGATGTGAAAGATGTATATTTTCCTTATATAGATCCTAAAACATGTAATGATTTAATGTTGTTTTCAATCACTCCCGCTATTAGTTTAATTCTTGTAATGGTCATGTTTGAATTTAAAACTTAGTGGGCTTGAAATAGAAAACATTCATGTCTAGAGATGGATAGGATTTTGGGAACTAAGAAGGTATAATAATTGTGGTAGTGTGAGAATACTACTTAACACCCTTATAAGCTCGATAGAGAATTAAGGGTATATATGCTCTGATTCACAATATTTCTTAGAAGAATCTACTTATGAAAAGTTGCATCCTTCAACATCATAAGTTCAAAATATTTTTCTTTGATTAAGTTATTACTCTCTCCACATAGAAAGTTTCAAAAGATCCAATTACTTCTTCTGCAATGGGCTTGGAGTAGTCTGCACTCTCCACCCATAAAGACTCATAACCACTACAAACTTTGCTTTCCAATCACGCACCTTGTTCGCCAGGCCAACCGTCTTGCCTTCCAAGTGCAAGAATTGGATGCAAAATTCTTAAAATGCCTTCGTTGTGAAAATATGTCTAAACAACTTCAATGATCATGGTAAGTCACACACCTGCAACCAAGAAACGAAAGAAATCACTATTGGTACAAAATTTGGTAAAAATTGGGCGGGAACCTCCCCATAGAGGTTCAAAACTTCCTTCATATCTATTCATAAAGGGAACAAAAACCCTAATACCATATGATTATGGGAATGACTAGCTATCTGTCTAATTATGAGATGATTTGCTCATCCTCCATCGTCACTCTAACAAAGAAACTCTCATGAGAAAATTAGAAGACTTTAAAAAACATAATTGGCATACTCGACGGTTAGCTTGTTCTTAGGCAACTTCTTCTCACAAAAAAATTTGCTCGCACATTTGCAAGGTCCAAACATTCTAAATTCAAAGAAAATATAAGATACGAAGTAAAGATCTGCCCTCATTTTCCTACTGCTTCTATTTATAGTTGAGAACTCAACACACGGAATTTCAAGATACGTCAAATCAAAATATGCATGGATATCTCACTATTTCCTCTCATTATTATAGGATCTGGAGAGCCACAGCTCACTCATTCCCAGTATTCACTATAGAAACTTTCAAAATCAGTGGTGCATCAACAACTTCTATTCAACAGAATAACTTTTCAATTTTCATTCTCGTAGAATATTCTCAGGATAAATGTAGCCATTAAAAAAACCAACCAGTACAGCAGCTACAACGAGTGCACTCCAGTACAAGATCCCTCTCCATACTCAGTGTAAGTTTATGCATCCGATCAAGGTATTCCAAGATGTGCTGAGCACCCTAATAAAAACCATCCTCGTAATTTGACCTCCATTGAGCTCAGGCAGCTCTACATGGCTGTCACTTGCTCTTTCAAAGAAGCGGTTTCTTCTCTCATGCCGGCATTGTCCACAGCAACATAAGGCTCACCTTCACTCTTAAACTTAACTATTGACTCCGAAGACATAACCCTCCCAATAATTTTGTCTAACTAAATTTATCCAAGGGGAAATGCGAGATCAATAAATAAAACACACGAGAAAGAGTCTAATGACTACACAAGCGTCTTATCAAATGTCCACACTTTAGCGAATTCTTTGGCAACTCCCTTAGTAGCGGTGATAGTCACCTCGATGACTTTCTCCTGTTCAAGCATACTTGCCTCCTACCAAGGAGCTTCACTCACGCTCCCTTGGACACTTCCAAGAAGAAAAGGATAATTTCCCTCATCCTTCGAAACTTCAAACCCTCCAGTCATGCCTCCTTCCATCGAAATAATAGGAGCAGTCGCCTCCTCCATCCTCGTAATGCAATGAGACAGCCGATCATTTTCAACAATAATCAACTCCTCGACACCAACTCATTTTCTCTTCAATAATAAAACCAGCAGTTAAATCAGCCAAGTCCACAAAGGCTATCCCCTCTTCTCTAGCAACATGCCTACTAGGTGCAAACCCTCGTATTTGCAACCTTCATGTTGAAGGTCACTCATGTTTTCCTATAAGCAGCCCTTTCGGGAAGCTTGATAAATGGAAGAGTCCATCCCACCGAAAATAAGCAAGGCTTACTGTTGGAAATTAATGGCAAGCATCCAGGACTTCCCAGTTTCTGGGGAATTTTGAACCTCAAGATTTGTAAAGATTTAAGTCAGAGCTAAGACTCCAAATTGAGATACAATAAGCAGCCAATGTCACACACTGCCACTTCAAAAGATCACCCTCTTACATTCACTTGAAGACCACGTTCAAACGTTACTTTCCCCTCTTACATTGATGGGTGACCTAAATTGGCCTCCCATGCCATGTCGGCCCATCCTCTAGACATCATCTAAATGATGCTCACCCCCTCTCATCGCAAAGGGGGACCATAAATTATTGTCTTATCTTGTTTGAATTGCCCCACTCAGCTATTGCTCAGCTCGACACTGATAAATTATAATAAAAGATGATGGAACAGCTGCATACCATGACGTAACTCATGCATTCATCTAAACCCTAAAAAGGGGGGAGGAAAGAGGAAAGAAATATCTTTTTTTGGAGTAACCTCCTAGAGAAATGTATGTCATAGCACATACTATGATAGAAGATAAAAGGGAAAGAGAGATAAAAATTCAAAGAGAAGAGAGATTCATAAAGCATTGTATCATTTTTTTTCCTTACATGGCTAGGGTTCCCTAGTGCAAGCTCTTACTTTAATTATTTTTGTATCTCTAGCTTAAATAATAAAGATATTGTCAAAATCCACATTTCACCTCTTCCCTCACGCTTAGACTTCAACACCTTCTCCCCACCGGCTCTCATCCTGCAGGTAGTGCAAAGTAAGGTCTGACATCAGACACCTAACAAAATGCGATCCAACAACCTAGGTTAGGGCTGCTTGGGCAACTACCAATTCAAGGTATTTCATGTGGCACAAATTTTTTCTGGAATCTCGGTATAAAACCTCTTCCTACTTCTTAGCTAACGAGTCGACATCCTATATCTATTAGCTTTTTAGGAATTTAAACATAGAGTGAGCCATTGTCTTTGAATCACATTGAACGCCTCTACTCATTATCTTCTTATATGCCATTTAAATGGGGCTGAAAGGTGAATTATAAGAGGTTCCAATCTATAGCATAAGTTTCCCAAAGTGCCCAAGTCTTTTCAAAACCTATTTCATGAGTTTAACAATTATTATCTACTCTCCTTTAAAGCTTGTCAACTTTATGCATATTAAAAGAGTCATTTTTTATATGAATCTCAACAAGAAGCCAATTTTTTGAATAAATGCACCAATCATTAGATTTTCTTAAAACTTAATTAGTATCTATGTATAAATTTCTACAACATTCCTACTCTCCCTTTGAGGTGCATTCCAAACCATTCCATTTTGCTTGGGATTGATGAGGCCACCCATCAGTCTGTGTAAAGGATGTTTTTTTCTGAGATCTGAAGCCAGCTGCATCCAGGACTTGTGCTTACTCCCATGTTTCTCATTGCCGCTCTTATCCTTTCAGCATCAGCCCACCTTCCTGAGTCTGCATAAATATTTGCAAGAATCACATAATGAGATGGGTTTTGAGGCTCCAGTTTCAACAAGTGTTCTACTGCCAACTCTCCCATCTTCACATGACAATGCATTTTGGCAGCGCCAAGTAAAGCTCCCCAAATACTAGAGTCAGTCTCTTCTCCCATAGCTTTAAGCAACTCCCATGCCTCATCAAATTGACCAGCACGGCCCAACAAATCAACCATGCAAGCATAGTGTTTCTTGTTAGGTTCCAAGTCGAGCTCAGAGCGCATAGATTTGAAAATTTTTCTTCCAACGTCAACCAAACCTACATGCCTGCAAGCAGACAAAACACTAACCAATGAAACAGAATCTGGTCTGACGCTACTTCCTTTCATTTGCGAAAAGAGGTTGATGACACTTTCACCAATCCCATGCATGGCGTATCCACCAAGCATCACATTCCATGATACTATATCTCTATATTCCATCTGATCAAACAGGTCTCGAGCAACATCTAATCGCCCGCATTTTGAATACATGTCAATTAAACTATTTCCAACCACAACATGAGACTCAAATCCAGTCTGAATGGAGATCGAATGCAGAGCTAAGCCATCCCTTAAAGAAGAAAGATAACCCGCAGTTGGGATGATGCTCACAAGAGTAACTAGGTTGGGCCTGATATTATCAGACCTCATTTGATAGAAAACAGATATTGCTTCATTTGCAAAGCCATTGTGCGCATATCCTGCAATCATCGTATTCCATGCTATCACATCCACATGAGATTTTGTCTCCAAGAAAACAGTTTCAGCTGCTTTAAGGTCTCCACACTTGGCGTACATATCCATGGTGGCATTCTTTACATGAAGGTCTGATCCAAGACCTCTTTTTATAGTCAGCCCATGAACACTTGTTCCTTCATGGAATTTATCTAGAAATGTGAAGACTGAAAGCAGACCTACGAGGGTTGCACGGTCTGGTTGCAGTCCACTTAGATGTAATTCATGAAACAACTTCACAGCATTACGAGCATCCCCAATCTGAGCATATCCATTTATGAGTGCATTCCACGTGACAATATCTTTGTTCTGCAATCTATCAAACAATTTAAGCGAAGAGATGAATGAGCCGCATTGCGCATACATTGCAACAAAAGCAGTACCAACAGAGCCATCAAAGTTGATGCCAGATTTCAAGGAAATACAGTGAATGCTCTTTCCCGCATTCAGATCTAACATGTCCGCACAAGCCGGAAGTATGCTCACAATAGTTATAGAAGTAGGCGTAATGCCTTCCAAATTCATCTTTTTAAAAATGGATACTGCTTCTTTTGGCTGACCTGATTGGGCAAAGGCTGAGATCATAGCAGACCAGGCAATAATATCCTTCTCTGGCATTCCATCGAAGAACAATTGTTTTGCCTTTTCCACTTCTCCGCATTTGGCATACATTGTCACTAGCACTGTATTGACTGAAATATCAAAATCCATTCCCTTGTCAACCGCATGCATATGAATTTCAATCCCTTTTTCCAAATTACCAGTTTCAGCAGCCGCAGAAAGAGCACTTAGCACAGAAACCTGATTTAATTTCATATTCTCTCTTCGCAATTCATCAAAAAGATCCAAAGCATCTGTAAAAAAATCATTGTAGAAAAAACCAGAAATCATCGTCCCCCAAGTAACATCATCCCTGCTTTCGGACATCCCATTAAAAATCCGACGAGCAGCCTCAACCAACCCACATTTCGAGTAAGCATCAATAAGACCATTAGCAACTGCAGGAAGAAACAATCTCCTTGCGATGAAACCATGGAGAGACCTGCAGAGCAAAGCGTTGGAGAGCTCACATACTGCAGGAAACAAATTCAAAATTGTAATTTTATTGGGCGTTATGCTGGTAGATAGCATCTTCCTGAAAAGAGCCAAAGCTTGATGCGATTGTTTATTCTGGTTGAACCCAGAAATCATAGCGTTCAGTGAAACAACATCGCAGTCAGGCATTGAATCAAACACCTGAGACGCGGCGCCCACCATCCCAAGCCTGCCATACATATCCAATAAAGTCGTGCCGATATAGGCATCCCCCTGTAGCTTCCTCCTCGCGATCTCTTCGTGAATCAAAATGCCAGTTCTCGAATCAAGACTTCCAGAGCAAGCTTTGAGCACAAACGTGAAGGTATACTTATCAGGTTCGATGCCACGCTGCAACATAATATGATAGAGTCGGATTGCCTCTTTATGCTCTCCGCTTTTCGTGTAAGCTCTGATCATGGAGTTCCATAGAACGATTGATGGGTTTGGGGTGGAATTGAAGATGGAGAGTGAGAAATCAGGTCTACTGAAAAATGAATAGGAATTCACGAGCAATGTGCGGAAGGAATCATTGGATTCGATTCCTCGAGTGAAGAGTTGGGCGTGGATTTGAAGGAAAGATTCGATCTTTTTACAGGAATGAATAAGTTGGATAAAGTTGGAGCTTTCAGAAGGAAATATTAGAGCTGGTTTAGTAAAATCGATTGCTGCTGCTGCCACCGAGGAGCATGAACGGCCACGGCGGATTCGAACGACCATTGAAATTAAACTTGGCGTTATCCGCCGATCGCCGGCCGTCTCCAACCAAAAGCATTTTCGCCGGCGATGGTTTAAGGCCTGTTTGGCAACAAGTAGGATTTAACTTTAGATTTAGTAAATACCGTAAATTCCGATTTATTAAATCCTAAAAACTATTTGGAAAGTTAAAGATTAAATTATGTGAAACAGTTTTGCAATTTAATATAGGATTTAAGTTATTTAGTTCAGTTAAAATATAAATTTAATTTTTATTTGAAATTTAATTTGTATTTTAAAATATTTTTCTTATGGGATACTAATTAATTGCGGAATATATCGTATCAAAATAATAAACTCAATCCCATACTATATCACCACCTTGCTCCCAAGATCATGCTCAAGAACTCTTGAATATGTTGCCTAGGAGATGGTGGCACGAATCAACTCATGAATATCTTAGTGAGCTCTTCTCAGGATATCTCATCATTCGATTTACCTTAGAACTTCTCATTTTGCTAGCATAGCCACCAGTGCTCAGCCTCTTTATCTAACTGAAATATCTTTTTTTTTTTTTGGAACGGGGGTATCTACCTGTTGCCACTCCAAAAAGAGCGCTTGGCGGCGGAACCAAACAAGGCCAACCACCGATATCGAGCTCACACTTGCTTTGCCCCACTAAAGATGCGAGATTGTAGTAGAGGGGATTCGAATCCGGGATGGGGCGTTCCCAACATTACTCGCCTACCAACCCCCCTAACCTTGGTGATAATAAAACCTTACTACCTTTATAACACTGCATACTATCAAATGAATTGTCTAGCCTCATCACACAATCTTCAAGTGTTTGAGATTCCACAGCATCATGAAAATAAGGGACTTCGAGCTCAAGAATAATTATAAATGTTGATCTACTTCATGACCCCTCACACCAATACATAATATAATTAATATATGCTCATTTCATATTATGTCTTTAAGGGTAAAGTCACTCATCCACCTGAGCATCCTCTAGGGGTGTCAATTCGGGTCAACCCGTCGGGTTCGGGTCGAACCCGACCCGACCCGTATCTAAACGGGTCAACCCGAACCCGACCCGTTTTTACAAACGGGTCGGACATTTCAACCCGGACCCGACCCGGCCGGGTTGCCGGGTTGACCCGACCCGACCCGCGACCCGTTTGTACTAGGGTTTTTTTTCAAATTTGACCTGACCCGTTTGTACTTAAAGAATTTTTTTTTTTAAGTAGGACTGCAGGAGGCAGGAGGGTCAGAAGCAGCCGCTTGAGCTGCACGGAGGCCGGAGCACGTGAAACAAATCCTTGCCTAAAAATGATCTCATTGGGCGGAGCAAGGATATGGGCTTGACACTTTGACAGCTTGTCATGGAGTGGCTGAGGAATCCATTAAATGAGCATCGTGTCATGGAGTGGCTGAGGAATCCATTAAATGAGCATCGGGAAATGAGTACAGAAACATTTTTTTTTTATTTTTTAAATTAAACGGGTTTTCGGGTTGACCCGATAACCCGCCGGGTCAACCCGACCCGACCTGTTTTATCAAACGGGTCAAATCTGTGAACCCGAACCCGACCCGTTTATCAAACGGGTCGGGTCCAACCCGGATTTTCCGGGTCGGGTCCAGGTCGGGTTGTCGTGTCGTGTCGTGTCAAATATTGACACCCCTAGCATCCTCATCTCTGCAACACTTAATATAATGCTTCTTGTTTAATGGCCAACATTTTGTGCCATAAGGCATTGCAGATCTCACCGTCATCTTATTTCCTTTCACGTGTAAAATTGACATAATCAATCCTGGTCTAATTCAATGCTAGCTAGCTTTCTTAGTTGTTTAGCCTAGGTTACTAAATTGACTCAAAAATTGATTGATGAAGCTGGCTTTCTAGCTGCCTTGAAGTAAGTTTGAGGGGGGCTTTTCTATCACACAGCAAGCCCAATGCATTTCTCCACTTCTACTATCCAACTTGAATTCTACTAATAATATCATCATCTATTTCACCATCACTCTCAACAATAGACCCAAGATATATAAAATGTGTACTCTTATTAATGACTTAATTGTTCAAAGTCGCAATTCCCCAACTAGATCTATTACTTATAAAATTACACTTCATATATTCAATTTTAGATTTAATTAAATGAAAACCTTTATACTCTAATGTTGACCTCCATTATTCAATTTAGCTTCAACTCCTTTTCTAGTCTTATCAAGAAGAAGAATATTATCAACAAAAAAGCATACACCATGATACAATATCTTGCAAATGTCTAGTAATAATATCAATCACTGAAGCAAAATTGAACTAGAGCATGATTTTCAAATATTTTAAAATTTATTTACATTTCTTTTATTTAAGACCTAACATCAATATTTTTTAAAATCCCTATATGTAAAATATTTTACAAACATTTTTTTCAAACAAAAGAACTCCTAAATTTATTAAAAAATTCAGTGCTTTAAAAATCGGACCGGACCGGCCAGTTCGACCGGTTCAACCGTGAACCGGTCATAAGGCCGGTCCGGTTCAGCCCTAAAACCACTTCTGCAAAGAACCGGACTGAACTGGTCAGAACCGCCGGTTCAACCGGCGAACCGGTCCGGTTATTTTTGAACCGGCCGGTTCAAATGTCACAAATTTTAAGTGTTTTTTTTAATAAATAAATTAATATATATTAAAAACATTTAATTAAATGGGGGCATTTAAAGAATATTAACAAAAATATTTTTGGAAATAAGATTTTAGATCTTAAGATTTTGTCTGTGCATGAGGATGCTAATATTATGTGGGAAAAAGTCGCTACTGATATTAAGAATATTGCAAAAGATGTCCTTGGAGTTTCAAAGGGAAAAGCTCCCAATAGTAAAAATAGTTGGTGGTGGAATCCTAATGTGCAAGAAAAAATTAAATATAAGAAGCTTTGTTATAAAAATTGGTTTAATTTTAAAAATTCTGATAATTGATAAATATATAAAGTGGCTCCTAAGGATTGTAAGAAAGCAATATGCGATGCAAAGGCATTAGCTTTTAGTGATTTATATAATAGATTAGATACTAAAGAGGGAGAAAGATATATGTATAAGTTAGCCAAACAAAGAGATAGGAGTAGTAAGGATTTAGTTCAAGTGAAGTGTATTAAAGATGAAGATCAAAAAATACTTTTCTTAGAAAATGATATTCAACAAAGGTGGATGAGATATTTTGATAAACTTTTTAATGAAGATTGTGAAAATAAGATTGACTATAGTGACCTTAGCACCCTAGATGAAAATAAAGATTTATATTTTTATCAGCATATTAGTAAAACTGAAATTAGAGAGGCTTTAAAGAAAATGAAGGGTGGAAAAGCTGTTGGACCTGATGATATTCCAATAGAGGTGTGGAAATGCTTAGGAGATGAAGGAATTTCATGGCTTACTAAACTTTTTAATACTATTTTGAAGACTAAGAAGATGCCAGATGAGTGGAGAATGAGTATGTTAATTCCTATTTTTAAGAATAAAGGTGATGCACAAGATTGTGCGAATTATAGAGGTATTAAGTTAATGTGTCATACTTTAAAACTATGGGAGCGAGTTTTGGAGCATAGGTTGCGGCGTGATACTAATGTTTCTCAAAATCAATTTGGATTCATGCCGGGTAGGTCGACTATGGAAGCCATACATTTATTAAGAGGTTTGATGGAGAAATATAGAGAAAATAAGGAGGATCTACATAATTTAATTTTTTATCTCATACTTTGAATGATAACATTATTTTTATGTTAATTGTATTAAATTTAAATAATACTTATTATTTATTACGTCATCCGGTTCGACCCCGGTTAGACCGGTCGAACCGTGAACCTCTCCTTGTTCCGGTTCGTTGTCCGGTCCGATTTTCAAAATCTTGAAAAAATTTATAAATGGCTTTATATATTTTGCAAAAAAAAAGTGTATATATTATTTTAGAATATTATTAAAATAGTGAAAAATTCGATTAAATCTGAATAAAGATTAAAATATAATAACATTATTTTCACAAATATAATTTAAAATAAAAAACTGTAATCATTATTGTCTAAAACTATCTACTCGGTCTACATGCCATGTTCAGACCATCCATTAAATAGCCTGGCTTAAACGGGAACATATATAAAGACAGCAGCTACCAACCTGGAAGTGTTGGAGGAGCGCAAAAACCTCTTAGAAGTGCTCTGCCATAAGCTTCTTCTCCATTGGCTCCTTACCAAATCCGTCAAAGTTTTTCTTCGATCGTTTCCAGCCTCAGGTATTCGTCCTCCTCCACCCATTTTTTTCCTTTTCTATTTTTTTGCTGGAGTTTGAGAATCTGTTCACGATTTGGAGCTTCTTTCGCTTGGATGGAATTCATGTCTTTGGCTGTTCAATAGGAGGAGGTGAAAGCGGGGAGATGGCTCACAGACTGGATCATGAGTACGATTACCTCTTCAAGATCGTTCTGATAGGCGATTCCGGAGTTGGGAAATCGAACATACTCTCCAGATTTACTCGGAACGAGTTCTGCCTGGAATCGAAATCCACGATCGGTGTAGAGTTCGCCACGAGAACGCTTCAGGTATGGCGTTTTGCCAAATGTTTTTAGGTTTTTATTGATTGCTCTGTTTCTATCATTAGATTTCGTTCTACCGCGCGCTTGCGACCTTGTTGGATGTTATTCGCATTGCTATCATTTATTTATTTGCCTCTTCAATCTGTCGATCGATTGTTCCTGATTTGCAAATGGATGCTTCTGTGCCATTAGACAGCGTCTATCGTTAAATTCTTATTATCTTTTATTTAATCGTTAATGATGAGTACCTGGAAAGTGGAAATCTGGCGGAGCCAGAAATTTTTATAAGTGCGTGCAGCTATAAATTTGCTTTTTGAAAAAATTCTTCAGATTTTTTCATTCAGCTTGAAATCAGTATAAGCAGTCTAAAAAAAATTGTATGACTTTATTATTTTAAAAAATAAAAAAAAAGATTTAAAATTTTATAATTTGTAATACATATTCTTCATATTCAAAAAATTTAAATAATTAATTTATTATCAATACAATTAAATATTTTTTCTCAATATTAGTGACTAAATATCACTTATGCACGGAACATCAATTATAGCAAGCAAAGCTTTTTAAATGTTTATATTAAAATAAGTTCTAAAACTTTTAATTTATCATTTAAAAATTTTGATTATAATATTTTAATGTAATTTTTTTATTATATAAAAGTATGAAGATAATTAATTATTTATAAAAAAAAAATAATAATAATAATTATTTATGCTTCTATTAAAATTGTAAAAAGGTTAAAAAAAATTTAAATCTTTTTTTTATATTCAATTTATTTATACTTCTATTAATATGTATTTTAATGAAAAACCATAGGCCCAGACTGTTTTTGGAAACTGAGTAGCTTGAATATTACATTCTCCAAGCGTCATCCTTGGGAAAAGTTATTACATCCGGACTAAAAATCGGAAATCCGGACAAATACCGAGCAATATCGAGTGCTCTTTACCGAGCGCCCAAGTGGCGTTGCGCTCTGTTATTGGTCTCTGGACGCGTTCGGTGACCGGACACAATAATTACTCCGTCCATGGACTTTGTTATCATTAGAAAATGGCAATTAATGTTGACAACATTAGGAGATGTAGGTTCATTGGGCTGTCCGAATTATTTGCAATATGCTTGAAGCTCAATGAATATATACATCTAAAGTAATTTCAGTTTTTATGATGAACAAAAGGTTTCATTGTTTTCTTAATCAGAAGAGTGAATTTCATGCTAGAGTCGGATTTATTGTTATCCGTATGGCTAACAATACGGATAACAATAAAATGCCTGGTCCGTTTTATATTTGTTTTTGAGGAATATGAAAACAATACTAATTATCCATCGTGATTTCTAGGGAACCATAAGGACTAAAGCATTGGGAAATTGCATATTATGTTAATTTAGCTCATTTAGCTCGCCAGGTTTGCTAATGTAGAAGTTAGAGATGCTTTAGAACGAAAGCATAAAAAATATGCATGAAATGGTGAGCGTGTGCAATTTCGGACGGTGACCTGTACACCACTGTCACCACACCAAATAAAGGCTTTTGTGGGTAGGCAGCTTTCTCACCCACGCACTTGCAAAAATGTGGTGTTCCCTAACCCAACCTGTGGGATGTGTAGAAGTTGATGGTCCCGTGAGCTGGTGTTGCCGGACCGCCAATGGCAGAGACAAGAACAAGATAAAGAGAAACAGAGAAGCTTATTTCCTTGAATCATAAAGCCTAAGTACATACTCCTATAAATAGACAGTGTCAGGTGTGAGACACATGTGTACACTTATCATTGGACAGCAAGAATAAGGTTTACATATGATTAATGCTAATCTGTTTTTAATTAGGTTGTAATATCTCCCCGCAAACTGAGGTATCATCCCTGATGGTCAGTTTGGAGCGGAGCTGCTTGAACCGAAGAGTGGGTAATGGTTTTGTAAAGATGTCGGCGATTTGATCCACCGTGCTGATTGGTAACAGGCTAATGGTTTTGTGATGAATATGATCCCGAATGAAGCGGTGATCAATCTCGATGTGCTTTGTGTGAGCGTGGAACACCGAATTGTTTGCCAGTGCTATCGCCGACGTGTTGTCACAGAAAATTTCAATGGGGCTGTCATGCGGGATGTTAAAGTCGGCAATGAGTCTTTTGAGCCAGATGGTGTCCGCAATGGCTGCAGCCAAAGCTCTGTATTCCGATTCTGTAGATGAACGGGAGACTGTCGTTTGCTTCTTCACCGTCCACGAAACAAGATTGTCACCTAGAAACGTACATAAGCCTGATGTAGATTTTCGGGTGATCGGATCACCTGCCCAATCCGCGTCCGAGAACGTGCGGAGATGGAGAGATGATTTCGTAATTGGTAGCCCGAAGGTGGTAGTTCCTTTGATGTACCGGAGCAGTCGCTTGAGAAGATGAAGATGATGTAGTTCTGGATTGTGCATATGTTGCGACAGAGTGTTGACCGTGTGTTCAATGTCTGGACGCGTTATAGTGAGATACTGGAGAGCTCCTGTGATGCGACGATACATGGTGGAGTCCACTATTGTGTTGTCTGGCAGAAATTGGGTTTGTTGTTTCATGAGGGAGGGATTAGAAAGAGAGTTACACTTAGTGAGATTTGTTTGTTGTAACATAGAGAAAGCATAGGATTGCTGAGAGAGAAAGTACGTATCTCGTGTTGATTGTATGTTGATGCTCAGAAAATGTCGTGCTAACCAGAGGTGCTTCATAGTGAATTGAGAATTCAAGTTGCTGAGAAGAGCGGAGATGGCCGCTTTGTCATTACCCGTAATTAGAATGTCATCTGCGTAGACCAAGAGGAAGATCTGGGTTTGTTGCCGTCGGTATATGAGAAGCGAGGGGTCTGCCTTACTGTGATGAAACCCGATGGTAATGAGATGATTGGTAAATGTGGTGTACCATTGCCTTGGAGCCTGCTTAAGTCCATATATGGTTTTCCGTAGGTAGCAAACATGATTCGGGTGAACGTTGTCTTCGAACCCTTTGGGTTGGCGCATATAGACTGTTTCATTTAGGCTGTCATGGAGAAAGGCATTCGTAACATCCAGTTGCTGGACTGGCCAGCCGTGCAACCGTGAACAATACACGAATGGTGGGAAGCTTTGCCACCGGGCTGAATGTTTCTTTGTAGTCTAGCCCGTATTCTTGGCGGTTCCCTTGAGCCACGAGACGAGCTTTGAACCTGGCTACCGTCCCGTCTGAGTTGAATTTCTTGCGGAATGTCCACTTGCATCCTAATATGAATGCGTTCGGTGGCTGGGGAACTAAGGACAATGTGCCTTGTTGTTGGAGGGCTGCAAATTCTTCCGCCATGGATTGATGCCATTCAAATTGTTTGCTTGCTTCTGTGTAACTGATGGGGGCTGATTGTTGATCACATTGGGTTGTTTGATGAAGCGGGTTGAGACGACATATGGGTTTGAGAGATCCTGTTTTGAATCTTGTGGTCATGGGATATTGGGTTGGATAAGCAATGTGATGCGAAGCGCGATCCGGAGACGGTGTGTTCCTGTGAGAAGGATGTTCATTTGCTGTAGAGAGTGAAGTAGGTACCTGGGTGAGAGGGGGAATCACTCGGACATATGAGTTGTTGTTGGTTGTGAATACTGGAAGAAGCAGCTGAGGGGGCACGTCTTGTATGGATGATCGCGGAGGTGTGGATGGCTGTTTTAATGGAAAAATATTTTCTATGAATTGAGCGTGCCTGGACACGATTATGTGATTAGTTTCTTGGTTTAAAAATTTGTAGCCTTTTTGGTTGTCCGAGTAACCCAAGAAAATGCAGGTAGTGGAATTTGGTTGAAGTTTGGTGGTTGAGTGCGGGGGAAGGCGCAGAAAACAGGCACATCCAAACGTTCGCAGATGGCCATAGTCAGGATTGTATTGAACATGAGTTTGAGCGGGGTCTGGTTGTGGTTGGTAGGCGAGGGAAGTCTGTTGATCAGATAGACCGCAGTGGCCACTGCTTCGGGCCAGTATAGGTGCGGTATGGAGGCCATTTGAAGCAGTGTTCGGGCAGTGTCCAAAATGTGACGATGCTTGCGCTCTGAAACTCCGTTCTGTTCTGGTGTGTATGTGCACGACACCTGATGTTTAATGCCGTTGGATCTGAGATACGTTTGGAGATTGTGATTCACATACTCGCCTCCGCCGTCGGTGCGAATAGCTTTGATCTTATGATCTGTTTGTTTTTCAATGAAAGTAATGAAAGTATTAAACGTTTGAACTACATCAGATTTAAACAGTAACAGAAAAACCCAAGTAAAGCGCGAGTAATCATCCACTAATAGTAGGTAGTATCTAAAACCCTGTTGTGCGGTGACCGGAGATGGTCCCCACACATCAGAGTGAATAAGCTAAAGAGGTTTATTAGCCCGATTTACAGAATGTTCAAACGGTAATTTGTGACTTTTGCACAGTTTATAGGAGATATAAGTATTAGAAATATTTGAAATGTGAAGAGGGGATTGGTTTTAGAGATGTGTTGAAGAATTCGTTGATGAGGATGGCCAAGATGCTCGTGCCAGTTGATGTTCTTTGTATGAACCGCTGACATTGCTTGCGGTTGAGATGATGAATTCTGAATAGTAATAGGATAGAGTCCATTCCTACACGGACCTCTGAGAAGAATTTTGTTGTTCTGCAAATCCTTTAAAACGAAACCATTAGGAGTAAAAGTAATGGAGATTTGATTTTCAGTGACTAGATTGGAAATTGAAAGCAAGTTGTGAGATATAGCAGGTATATGAAGTAATTTGGACAGAGTTAACTTACGATCTGGTGTCGGGAGGAGACCCGTGCCCGAGTGAGCAATCGGAACGGATCTGCGGTCCCCAACCATCACCTGATCAGATCCTTGGTATACCGATCCTTGAAGAATTTGATCATTTCGATTTGTCATGTGCGCTGATGCATCGGAGTCGAGATACCAATCCATGGATGTCGCATCTGTGGAGGCTAGAAGAGCATTTTTGGTGTCAGATTGAGTTCTTGGCGTGATGTAGTTGGCGTTGAGACGGTGCCAACAGACATCAGCGGTGTGACCGCGTTTCAAGCATATTTGACATGTGAGGGATGATTTTGAGCCCTGTTTTTGGAATGAGCTGGAGGTGGACTGATTTCGACCTCTGCCTCGGCGTCCTCGACCATGGTTCGCGTATAGAGCGGTTTGCGCTTCTTGCGGTATTGCCAGACGCAGAGAGTCAGCTTGTAGATGTATTTCTTCGCTGATCAGAAGTGCGTACAGAATGTCCAGCTTGAGAGGAGACTGCATTGTCCTAATAGAGGTCTTGAACGATTCATATGAGGGAGGTAACCCGTTCAGGATGTGAAGGATAATGTCCTCTGTGTCAATGGTCGAGCCTGCAGATGCAATGTTATCAACGATCTTCTTGATCTCGGTGAGGTACGTTTACATAGACATGTTCTTCATAGTGATGTTGTGCAGCTTGTTTTTGAGTTGGATTACTTTCGAGCGATTCGAAGATTGGAACCGGAGTTGAAGAGCTTGCCAAATTTCAGATGTGGAATCAAGGTGCATTACATAAGGGAGCACCTGAGCCGATGTGGTTGAGCAGGTCGCCGCGGCTAGGTTCTGATTCGTGATGATCCAAGTGTGGTCGATGGGATCGGGATCTTGATTTTCTTGATCTGAATGTGGCTGAGAAACGTTGGATGATGGAGATTCAAGAAAAGTCTCGAATCCGTTGGCCTTGAAGAGTTTGACGATTTGATTCCTCCATATCGGATAATTTTCCGATGAGAGTTGATGGGGAACGAGTGTCCTGAGATTTGAAATGATGAATTTGAGAGAATGGTAAAGAACCGATTTCGCAGACGGAGGGACTGCGGTGGCTGCCGTCGTTGATGATGAGGACGACGAGGATGCCATGAGAAATGTTGGCCGGAGGTTCAACCCGCTACTGATACCATGTAGAAGTTGATGGTCCGGTGAGCTGGTGTTGCCGGACCGCCAATGGCAGAGACAAGAATAAGACAAAGAGAAATAGAGAAGCTTATTTCCTTGAATCATAAAGCCTAAATACATACTCCTATAAATAGACAGTGTCAGGTGTGAGACACACGTGTACACTTATCATTGGACAGCAAGAATAAGGTTTACATATGATTAATGCTAATCTGTTTTAATTAGGTTGTAATAGGATGAAGGCCCCAGAATTCCAGTGTTGCAGCAAAAGTTGTCATTTCCCCAAACAATCCTTTAAGTGCAATCACCATATCCATATATTGGTTTATCTGAGCAATGTAAGGTTGGATTTCTTTTTCTTTTAGTCGATCTTATCTTCAACTTCTTCTCCGCCTTTGCCAACTCTCTCTCTCCCTCTTTTTTTTTTTTTCTTGAAACTTCCACCAAACCTAGTTAATTTATTCTATCATTGCTACAGTGAGTGCATGTTTCTTGTGATATACTACATGTCTTTAAGTAACCACAGGATGACCAAAGAGTGCTATGGTATATCGTTGTTGGAGAAGATGTGAGGTGGAAGTGAAGGTACCAGATTGCTTTAAAGCCTAAACTTGGTGGGATCGCAATGCTACTGATATGTCATTGAAAAATTATCTTGAACAGGCACGAATCTCGAGGCAAAAATCAAGTTGGAAACTTCAAAAATTAAATCCAGTATCATCTAAACTCCGATTTTAGCAAATTTACAGTCGAACTGAGCGTCTCAGAAATACAAACCCAACGACACCAAATTCGACTCAATCCGAGCCCAAATGAGTCTAAATCAAGGACCTGAAGCGCTGTTGGAAAGTTCGAACCACAATTTGGATTACCAAACGGTTTCCAAACATGACATGCTTATAGTCAAATCAAGCGGCTCGCCGAGATGAATCCAACGAGCCCAAGATCGCCGAATTTTCCAATATCATTAAGACTTTCAAATGTCTGACAAATGGTCCACGATCAAGGGATTTAATATCCGTCGTCCATCCAACAACTCCACATTTGCCCCTGATCTCTCACATATTTACGGGCCATGCCACTCCAAAAATCTATAAATAGACCCCTCATTTATCTTGAGAGGGGGCCCAAGCAAGGAGAAGCAAGAAGAATAAGAGAAGATTAGGAGGGAAGAAACTCCTCCTCGACCACCGCCGGGATTCTGCTCTACTTCCACGAAATGCCGGAATTCTACCCGACTTCCAAGTGACGCTGGAATTCCGCCAAACTTCCAAGTGACGCTGGAATTCCACCCGACTTCCAAGTAACGTTGGAATTCCACCCAACTTCCATGTGACGCCGGAATTCCGCCCGACTTCCACGGGACGCTGGAATTCCGCTCGACTTTCCAGTGACATCGGAACTCTGCAACTCTGGAGTTTTGCCCAAATACCATCTGACGCCAGAGTTCTCCCTGGCCGTCAACTGAATTCGGACTTTTACCCAACGACGGATCTCTGCTCATTGCTAGATTTCTACTTGGCACTGGACTTCTACCCGTTATTGGACTTTCGCTGGATAACTATCCAAAGTGGGAGTTCTATCCATAACTGGACTTCTACCTGACGTCGTCTTTCTGATCTTCGTCGTCAGATAACTGACCTTACGACCTCTGTCGCCAGCCGACTACGGTCCTCCTGACTTACGTCGTCCACCGACTATAGTCCTTCCGACCTCCATCGCCCGCCGACTACGGTCCTCCATACTTACGTCGCCCACCGACTACAGTCCTTACGACCTCCGTCTCCTGCCAACTACGATCCTCCTGGCTTACATCACCCACCGACTATAGTCCTTCAGACCAAACAAACACATCAACAGAAACTCTTTGCATTCTCATCATGTAATTTACTATATAAGATGTACATCAAGTTAAGGCCTTCTCCCAAGGAAGGGCCTCATTTGTAATCAATTGCAATATTAGTGGATTCATTTAAACTGAGTCAGGCCCCGTGGTTTTTTCCCCCTTTCCAGGGGTTTTTCACGTAAAAATCTTGGTGTCTCCTATAAATGCAACACCCTCTCTCTTATTTGATTGCGTGCCGAATTTTCGTATAATAATAAGACGTTAAACTTTATATTTTTCTACCGCCGCGAATACTCCAGGATGCAACAGCTACTATTATTGCTTTTCATTAGACAGACTGAAGACAATCATGTGCCTGCGTACCTTAAATTTATTTGAGTCATAGCTTTAGGTTGTTTAATATTATCACATTGTAGCATATGCATTTTTATTTATGTGCTTGATGGTGTTTTACTGTTTTTCCATAGAGGATAACTATTCTAATTAAAAATCACAAGTGAAAGTAAATGCCGAATCATCTGAGCTGTCAAAATAGAAGGGCCGGATTCCCACTTTAAGCTAACCATATAATTCTGTGATTTTTTTCATCCAAAAAAGTCTAGGCAAACTTTCTATTTTCCTTTTGCATACCATCACCTATTAGGATATGAGCATGCCTCGCACTCGATGAACTGAAACACCTGTGAGAAAGACTCACATGCTCCTCTGAATGTGTTTTTCAAGCCTCATATAGATTTATACTATTTAATAACATCATGAACTTTTCTATATGTACTTTTCCTTTATTGAGTCCCTGAGATGTCACCTTCACTTACGCTGCTTACAGTATTAAACTAATGTAACACCCCTGCTGTGGAAGGGAGAGCATGAATGAAAATAGGTCAACTCAATAAATAATTAACGTTAAGTTCAGATATACTAGTGGTAAAATCTTATCTTAAATCAAAAGTTTAAACTAATGGGTTCAGGTCAACTGTTAAGTTTTTCTAGTTCAACATAGTTTTCAACTATTCTATATTGGATTAAATTCTATGCCTCATGTGTTTACAATTTGAGAACTTTTCATATCGCCCATCGCTCATACTCGAACAAAAGCATTATCCAACTGTTATGCACCAAAATTCCACTTGATATCCATCCTGAGTGTTATCAGCTCTTGAACCTTCATCAACTATCATGGAAAAGGCAAGGTCCATAGCCTCAAATTGCATTAATCAGTCCTAACCAAAACATTGGCTTTGACATCTAAAGTTATGGAGAGTGAATTACGGATGATCAAAGTTGAGTCACATAGATTAATGTTTCATGCCGATTCATCCTGCCAAGGTGAAATTCCACAGGAGTTTAAAGAAATTGTGACCAAAGATGTTTACTTTTGATACAATCTACTTTCATCATACTTTTCAACTGAGCAAACTTTCTTCTTCAATTTCTGACGTAATGACAATTCTTGAAGCTTTTTCGTTCTCAAGTAATTGTACTCTGATACAGATTGATGGAAAAACAATCAAGGCTCAGATTTGGGACACTGCAGGTCAAGAGCGTTATCGCGCCATCACCAGCGCGTATTACAGGGGCGCAGTGGGAGCACTTCTGGTGTACGACATAACTAAGAGGCAAACTTTCAACAACCTCCATAGGTGGCTTCGCGAACTGAGAGACCACGCCGACTCCAACATAGTCATTATGATGGCTGGCAACAAAGCAGATCTGAACCATCTCAGAGCCATTTCCGAGGATGATGCGCACTTATTAGCTGAGAAGGAGGGTCTGTCCTTTCTCGAGACCTCGGCTCTCGAAGCCTTCAATGTCGAAAGAGCTTTTCACTCTCTGCTCACAGAGATACACAGCATAATAAGCAAGAAAGCTCTTGCTGCGCAAGAGGCAACTGCAACTGCTCCAATTCATGGCACAATAATCAATGTTGCTGATTCCAATGGGAGCTCAAAGCGAAGCTGCTGTTATACCTTCACTTAAATGTTGCCAGACTTCTGAAACTATGAAAAGCAGAGACCTCTCTCGCACTCTGGATTTATTTTTTGGACTCTTGGAGGTTTTTTTCTTCACAGTTTTTCAGTATTCTCTACAGGAATTACATTTACCCATCTCTCTCTCTCTCTCTCTCTCTCTCTCTCTCTCTCTCTCTTAACATATTCTTTCACCCGTATTCTAAAAATAAAAGTATAAAATCATGTGAACATAAAGATTAAGGAGTTCCCTTTCTAAATGATGTTACAAACACCAAAATAATCATATGTTTAGGTTTTTCTACAATAACAATGCAGCACAGAATCATTAACCAGTAACAACTCAAGGATATTTCTAAAAAAAAAAAACCTACTTCGATAAAAATTGCAATTTTTTTTTGGATTTATGCGCATCAACGACAAAAAATTTCATGATTTTTTTGGCAAAATAAATTATGGAGAATTTCTAAAGTCTACAATCAATAGGTTAATAGATCTTGCAAAATTGAAGTTTATGATTTTTTATCCTACCAAATGATGGTATTTTGGCATGAAAAGCTCGTGAAGATATCCTCATAAGTTATCCACATCCAAAAAAAAAATCAAACTTTTTCAACAAAGCACAGACAATATAAAAAATCATCGAAAACCTTGATCAACAATATGATAGACTTTGCAAAGCTGTGGTTTATGAATTTTTTTGCACTATCAAACGTTAATATTTTGATATGAAAAAGAAATTATGAAGATAGTCGTGGATGTTATCTATATTTTCCAAAAAAATTAAATTTTTTTAACGACCTATATGATTACAACAAATTTTTCAATGTATAAAAAATCATTACTTAGCTTCAAAATATCAGGGAGTTGATAGCCCCCCAAAAAATTAAAATTGTGATAACAAGCGCTGAAAACCTTTAGGCAAAGCATGAACAAACATACGACCATTCATCGAAAAGTTCATATCAATATAATGAGAGTAGGAAATAAAAACTCAATAAAAATGATCAAATTTATCAAAAACTAAATAGTCCCAAGCACTGAAAACAGTTTTTTCCGGCGGTGTGACAACCGCCGGAAGAGAAGCATAATACTAAGTTAAGTGTGGCAGAGATGAGAATGCTCAGGTGGATGAGTGGCTTTACCCTTAGAGATAGGATACGAAATGAGCATATACGTGAAAAGGTTGGAGTAGCTCCAGTAGAAGATAAAATTAGAGAGAGTCGCCTTAGATGGTTTGGTCACATAAAACGACGGCCTTTCGATGACCCGGTTAGGAGAGTAGAGGTATTAGATTTGACTTATGTTAAGAAAGGTAGGGGTAGACCTAAAAAGACTTGGTTAGAAAATATTAGGAATGACCTTTCTTTATTAGGTTTAAATGAGAATTTGACTTTTAATAGAACACAATGGAGAAAAAGGATTCATGTAGCCGACCCCACGTAGTGGGATAAAGGCTTGATGTTGTTGTTGTTGTTGTTGTTGTTGTGACAACCGCCGAAAAGCCGCCGTTTTTTCTCAGAACCGCCGGTATTTACAAGTAAACACCCGGCAAAAATCGCCAGTAATGAACAAATTTCCTGTAGTGATGGTTGTTGGTTGCCACATCTTCCTTCATGTATCTATTTCTTGTCAAGCTTTGAGGGTAATCGTCTTCAAGCAAGAAGAAATTGCAACTTCAAAATGAGATGAAAATTTTCACAGTCAAATTTGTTCCATCTAACGAGGGTAGACAGCATATTTTTAAGGAAAGATTGGAGCCTCGTTGTAGAGGCTAGAAGTCTTGATGCTTGTTTCCAAGGCCCAATGAGGATGGCTGACTTCTTTCCCAAAGGAAGACCAGAGCCTCGTCGTGGGAATCAGCAAGTATTAATCATCTCCAACTCTATTACGTTTGACAATAATAGCAAACACATTTTGCAAGGAAAGACTGAAATCTCACTATAAGAACTACAAGTCTTGATCATCTCTAACAATCTTTAAATTCCTGCTTATAATTTTTTTCCGGCTTTTATGAAGAAAAGTCGAAGCCTACTAAGAGAGTTGATGCCCTCTGAACTATATATATGCAACAAAAATAGACAACGCATTTGTTTAAGAGAAGACTAAAGTCTCCTTTTATGGATTATGGGCCTTGATCTCCTCCAATGATTTTTTTTAATTCATCTTTTACAAAGAAAAATTGAAGCTTGCAAAAAGAACTGGAGCTCTTTTTCTAGCCCTAAGGGGCATTCATAGATCCAAAATGGAGAAAATTTTAAAAGAGAAAATAAAATTGTTCAAAAATTTTAAGATTTTTTTCAATTTCTTTTTAAAAGGAAATATCTTATTAAGATTAAATATGTATCACTATATTATTTGCATGGTACTTAATTACAATATATATTCTTAATATTTAAATTTTATATTCTAAAAATGTGTATATTATAATTTATTTGGGATTTATTTTCTTTCACGTTGGTAAATTTTCTCTACTAGCTAGTAGATTTCATCTGACTTATCATTTCCGCTAATGAAATCTTATGTGAATTCGAACATAACAAAAAAAGATTACTATTTCTAGGACAAACTTGATATCAAGAAGGCATATGAACTATAAATATATCTTTTCTTCTCTCTAGGATAAACCAAAAAGATTTTCCTCTACTATTCATTGATTGAATCCAAGTTTATATTGTTGACATTCAGTATTCCATAGGCATCAATGGAGACATTGAATTTTTTCAACTCCTCTTCTAACCTAAGATAAGGATATCCCCTCTCTCCATATCTCTTTTGCATTGTCATGGATGCACTTTCAAATTTATTTTAGTATAAAATTGCTGACATGGATTATGAAGGGAAAAAGCTTAAAAACTAGCATTTTTCTCGCTTCTTATATGTTAATGAATTAGTGATTTTTGGCAAAGGAACTTCAAACAAAATTTTCACTCTCAAAGACATCATCACCATTGTTGGTGATGCATTTGGCATTTACATTAATTAGGCATGAAGTTCCATATGCTTCTCTCCAAAGGTCATCAACCCCATAGCCCTTTTGGTTCCTCTTAATATGTGAGGATTTGAACAAAAGCTGACATATCTTGAAATCCCTAACCCCTCTATATGCCACCACCTTCTAAAATTTCAACTTCTTCTCCACAAATCTATTTAACAGCTTGAAAGTTAGAATACAAAATCCATTTTTTTTACTAGTAGACTCCAATTCATTAGATTCTCAATCTAAAACTTTTGTAAATATTGGATTTTTTTTATCATGGAGATATCAATGCTAAAAAGCTTCACATTGTATCTTTGGAAAAAAACTTATAAGCATAAGGTTTATGGTGGTCTGAGCCTTCCCTCCATTGCTATTATTAATCATGTGTATACAAGCTAGGCACTAATTTTGAGGTTTTTTAAATTACAAAAAAAAAAATTCACAACTCACATTGGCATGTTGGTTGAGAGCTTAGGATTCCAACTAAGAGATCTTGGGTTCGAGTCTTTTTGTATGTATTGTAGGTGTGAATTTGTCTTAAATGACCTAAATACTCCAAAAAAATTACAAAAATTTTATATAACTAGTACAGAGTCGAATATTGCTATTTATGGAAACCTTGTCTCAAAAGGATTTCTCCATTTTTGGAAAGCTCTTAAAGGAATTGCATATATGTTATCAAGTGTAAGATATCTTATGCTATTTTGAAAGTCATAGTTAGGGCATCTCCAACTGAAAATCTCATTTTTCACACCAAAATGTCGTGATTCATCTCCAACTGAACTCCATTTTGTCGAGGTAACTGTCGTTCTTATAAGTGAAATATTATAATATATATTTAAAATGTAATATATGATGTGGCATTTAGATATTGGTGTGGTTGTATCTGAGAACTACTCTCCTCTATATATATGTACTGTTGTAGCCTTTACTAAATAATAAAAAATAATATCTTCTTCCTCCTCTTTCTTTATATGTTATTTATCTGTTCCTTTCAAGTTAAGCTCTTCATGGTATCAGAGCTAGGTTTCCATGACGAACTCGGCAACCTCTCGTCGCAGCGAGCAAATAGACACACAAGCTCAGATGATCCTCAAATCTCACCGGCGCTGAAGTTCGTTGTATCAAATATCAAGAATACTGTTCTGATACAACTCGCACCAAACAACTACCCTGTTTGGAAATCGCATATCTCAAAAAAATTTTGGGCATATGGGTTTCATAAGTTTCTTGATCATTCTTCCTCTTCTCTTGATCAAACTCCTTCTCAAATAGACAGTTCTTCCAACTCAAAATCTTCATTTTCACAATGGTTGCTTATAGATCAAATTCTATTTGCCTCACTGTGCTCCACCATATCTGCTTCCATCATTCCTTATGTTGTTCATCTTGAATCAACTGCAACCATTTGGACAACTCTTAAAACTAGATTTCAATCCAAAAATAGATCCAAGGTCATACAACTTAAGACTAACCTACATAATATCTCTCTCAATGTCTCAATATCTTGCTAAAATCAAATCCATAGTTGATCAAATAGCTAGGGCAGGTTCGATGGTAGATACCGAAGACATAATAATGTATATCTTGAATGGATTGCCCAACTCGTATCAATCTTTCAAGACTACCATTAGGACAATGCTCAACCCCATTACCCTTGATCAAATATACCCCCTTCTTCTCAGTGAAGAAATCAACTTGGCTTCCAATGCCGCTCGTAGCTCTACCTGTTTTGATCCTAATCTTGTGTTATATTCAACGCGAGGAAGATGACGTCGCTACAAAGGTAAAAACTACTCAAACTCGTACAGTGATGGTCGTTCCTCTACATCTACACCGGTTCTCTGTCAAATATATCTTAAGAAAGGCCACTCAGCACCAGACTGTTGGCACCGTCTCAATCCATAGTACATGTCGAACTCTAGCAATGCGACCAATAAAGCTCTTGTGGCCAGTTCAGACAACTCCTCCACCAATTGGTTTCTTAATTCAGGAGCAACGTCTCACCTCACCAACTCTCTTGACAACATGTCAATATACACTCCTTACCAGGGTACCGACCACATTACGGTCGGAGATGGTAGATCGGTGAACAGTGCTCACGCTGGGGCTGGCTTATTGCCGACCCTAACATGTAAGGTTCTCCTATCTCAAGTTCTTCATACTACTCAGCTACATTACAATTTATTATCTATTTCTAAACTCACTAAAGACAATTACATTTCTATTATTTTTAACCCATCGGGCTTTGTGTTTAAGGATCTAAAGACTGATCAAATTCTGCTTCAAGGACCAAATAAAAATGGCCTCTATCTGGTTCCGACTACTTCATTATTATCTTTAATTCAAGCTTTTTAGCCACTGCAAATAATGTTCAACCATGGCATTCAAGACTTGGCCATCCCAATACAAGAACTCTTAAAACCATATCTCAATGTAATCCGCATCTTCATATTTCTGTTGACCCTTCAGTCTGTGAGTCTTGTACCAAGTCCAAGTGTCATAAACTAGTTTTTGAAAAATTGGTTAATCGCCAAAATTTTAATCTTTCTCTTATTCATTCGGATGTCTAGGGACCTGCTCCTGTAATTTCGTTTCAAGGATATCGTTATTATGTAATTTTTATAGATGATTTCTCTCGTTTCACTTGGATCTTTCCAATGCAAAATAAATATGATGTTACGAATATTTTCATTATATTCAAAACTCAAATTGAGAAATACACATCTTGGTCCTTCAAAATCTTGAGGACTGATGGCGGAACTGAATTCGTAAATCAATCCTTAAAGCAGTTTCTTCAACAAAATGGTATTACTCACCAAATCTCTTGTCCTTACACCCCTGAGCAAAACAGCGTTGCTGAAAGGAAGCACAGGCATATCATTAAGACCTCTTGAACGTTTCTTCTTTATGCGTCCGTTCCTTATATGTATTGGCCGGAAGCGGTCTTAACATCAGTCTACTTGATCAATAGAATGCCTTCTTTAGTTAACTTCAATATCTCTCCTTTTGAACTCCTTCACGGCACTAAACCGGACTATAACCATCTACGAGTCTTTGGCTGCGCGTGTTTTCCTCTTACTCCGCCGCAAACCAAACACAAATTTCAACCCAAGGCCAAATCTTGTATTTTTCTTGGCTATTTTGACACTCATAAAGGTTATAAATGTCTTGACCCAACCACAAATAAAATCATAATTTCTCGCCACATGATCTTTGATGAGTCCTCTTTTCCCTTTGCCAATACCTCACCCATTTCCACAAGTCCAACCAAAGAAACCTATCCTTATTTTTTAACTCCAATTTCTGTTCCAGCAACCACTTCTAATGACACTTCAACTCGAAATACTCATTCAAATTCATCTCAGTCTAATGCCTCTTCATCCATTCACACCACTAGCCCTTTTCTGTCAACACCTAAATAGGAAATATACTCCATGCAGCCTTCCTTACTTCCAGAAAATCAATTTGTTTCCCCTCAGTCAATTCCTCGTCATCACATGATCACATGGAACCAAACAGGCTCGCTCAAGCCTACAGTTCATCTCAATCTCTTTCATGCTCATACTTCTACATACCAACATGTTACTCCTACCACATTTACTGAAGCTAATAAACACCATGAGTGGTGCCATCCTATGGCCATGGAATTCTTGGCTTTGCAAAAGCAAGGCACATGGAGTCTTGTTCCCTCACCACAAACTTCTTCAATTTCTCAGCTACAAATGGGCCCATCGTCTCAAATTTCATGCTGATGGCTCCGTGGCAAAACATAAGGCGCGCTTAGTTGCACATGGAAACCACCAGGAATACGGCGTGGACTATACATAAATATTTAGTTCAGTGGCAAAACTTCCTACTATTCGTGTTCTTCTAACAGTTGCTCTTTATAATGGATGGCAGGTTCATCAACTTGATGTTGCAAATGTGTTTCTTCACGGTCCCCTTTCAGAAACGGTGTTCATGTCGCAACCCAAAGGCTTTGAAGACACCTCACACCCGGGCTATATGTGTCGATTGAATAAAGCAATCTACTGTGTTAAAAAGGTACCACGTCAATGGTATAACACGTTCACATGATATCTGATCTCTATGGGTTTTACTCAAAGTAGTGCAGATCCATCTCTCCTCATCCTTCGGCAATCACAATCTCAAATTTATCTTTTTATGTATGTTGATGACATACTAATTACTAGCGACAACTCTAAACTCATCAATACAGTCTTTAATAAACTAAGCTGCAACTTCTCTATGAAACATTTAGGACAAATTCATGATTTTCTTGGAATTCAGATCACTTACTTTAATCACAAATACTTCCTATCTCAGAAGAAGTATGCATATATCATTCTTCAAAGAGCTCATTTAACTAGCTGCAACCCGCTGGCAAATCCGGCAAGTACAAAGCTTCCTGTCAAGTTTCCTGAGGATCCCCTGCTCTCCGATCCTCCTACTTATCGAAGGCTAATTGGCTCCCTACAGTACTTGACGTTAACCCGTCTAGATATTGCGTACAGCATAAATCAGCTCTCTCAGCATATGCATCATCCACTTCCTCAACACATCTACCTGCTTAAACGTCTTCTACGATATATCAAAGGTACACTCGATTATGACATACCAATTTCAAAATCTAATCTTTGTATATCTTCTTTTTCAGACGCGGATTGGGATGGAGATACAACCTCCAGAAAATCCACTTCTGGATATTATTCGTTCCTCAGAGACACCATAATCTCAAGGACAGTCAAGAAGCAAAGCGCAGTGGCAAGATCTTCTACATAAGAATACCATGCATTGGCTTCACTCACATCTGATGTTATCTGGTTACGTCGACTCTTAAATGACTTTGGCATAACACAGGGTCAACCTACAGACATGTATTGTGACATTACTTCTGCTATTGCATTAGCTAACAATCCTGTTTTTCATACTCGTACTGAGCTTATCGAGATTGATCATAAATTTATTCGAGATCATATTACTAACAATCACATACGTCTACTTCCTATTTCCATTGTTGATCAAGTGGCTGATATCTTCACAAAACCCCTCTCTACACCTAGATTTCACTATCTATGAAACAAACTGATGGTCATCCAGGATCCATCAGTTTGCGGGAGCATATAAGTAAAATATTATAATATATATTTAAACTGTAATATATGACGTGGCATTTATATATTGGTGTGGTTGTAACTGAGAACTACTCTCCTCTATATATATGTATTGTTATAGCTTTAACTAAATAATAAGAAATATTATCTTCTTCCTCCTCTTTCTTTATCTATTTTTATCTGTCCCTTTCAGGTTAAGCTCTTATGTTCTCTTTTTTTGGTGTGTTTCTTAGACAAGTTCGGTAGAGATTGAAAAATAGTGTAGATGAACAGTGCAATGCCAATATTGGCGTCCCAATGTTCACCCGCAACCAAATAACGGAAATTTTACCATTCGGCTAGAGCTCGCAGGCGACATCATTCAACTGTTTGGAATTCGGTTGGAGATGCTCTTATGGTTATAGTTCTAAGCTTTTTTTGGGATCCTTTGTGTCATGATAAAACCTTAAAAGAACATATTTGATTCGGATGTCTTCTCCACCTTCCTCTTACCCTTAACTCTCCCTAGCCTTCCCCTCAACTCTGCTCTTAGCAATTACAGATGAAATTTATCTGAATTTTATGATGCAATTGTGACAAGTCCTCCCTCAACTGATCTGATGATAGAGACTCTACTGCTTGGAGTAGAAATTTGAACCTATCTTTTAAGTATTAAAACCTGTACATTGTTGCATATTTCACTCAATCAAAACCTTATCTTTGCCGTCACATCTTCCATTTGAAATATTTGGAAAGTACTATTTAGTGGATAATGACCCCCCCAAGCAAAGAACTGGAAAAGGTAAGGACTTTTTCAGAAAATCACAAATTCAAATTATTTAGAATAAAAAATTTTTTTTGGGAAAACCCGGGGCAAAAGAGCCCATATATTAAGATAAAAAGTTCAGATTACAAGTAATCAAAAAAAGAAAAGCAAAGAGCTAAATCTAAACAAAATTACAAAGACAATAGCAGATAAGGGAAATGAAAATGGCGACAACAAATAGACTCAGAATAAATGCACTGTCTCAATCATCAAAAAATTCGGAGGCAAGAACTAAAGGAATCAGACGGTGGCACCGGTTGCCCACAAAATCTGAGTAAACGATAGAGTAACCCAGCAAAACTGGCCATCACAGTGCCTCCAGCCCGTCCAGAAAAGTCACAAAAACGAGCCAAGTTGCCCCTAAGACCCTCAATGGCTCGGAGAGACAGTCCATGGTCATCATCGTCCGTTGTGCACATGATCATCCCACGAATGCTGCCAATATCTTTGAAGTATACCCGAGATTTGCTGTTAAGAGGGTCAAAAGATAATCTGGAATGTGAATACAAAAAACCGAAATCCACATTCCCAAAAAATAACTTATCCCAGGTCTGAAGGAGAATGAAGATCAAAAAAACCAGGCTGAACCATAAGTAACCTTCCTCATAACTTCGCTTACCAAAATTCATACCCAAAGAAGATGGTATCCAAAGATATTTGATAACAGCCCAAACTAAAAAATCCTGAACCTTTGAAGCAATAAATCCCTGTTTTTCCATTTTATAGTTTTCAATCTTAAAGCCATGGAGATATTGCAGAACAGTTTAGTCACATTGACACTGGTGTTGCCAAAACGCCGGTTATTGCGTTCTCTCCATAAATGATAGATAATACAACTAATAGCAATATAGCAAAAATCTTTTTCAGCTTTGTTGTATCTAACCGAATTTTGAATAAATTCCAGAGTTTGGGGTAAGTTTGGCCTGAGAAAGAAGCATTTAAAATCTGGGAGAATAGCCGTCAGAATATAGAAGGCAAAGTCACAATTGAAGAATAAATGTGTATGTGTTTCCAGATTTCCAAGACAGAAAGAGCAGTTCAAAGGCACCTGGATGCCTCTAGAGAGCAGATTGTCGGCAGTTTTGAGCTTACCCATTCTAGCCATCCATGCAAAACATGCAAATTTCAACGCATGATGCTTATGCCAAATGGCATTATGCCAGTCCACAGAAGGCAAACTATCGTAATAGAATTCCATAAAATTTTTGAATAACCATTTCTGGTTACCATTCCACAAAACCTCATTTTTCATTTTGATTTCCACAGCCATAATTTTATCAGTTATACTAGTAGGGATGGTATTAGGAAGGTGCCACATACCATTAAAATAGAAGTCTTTCACCTGAGTTGCATCCATCCCCCGAATTTCCTCCCCAAAGAGTTGCCCAGATAGCCATGGGTCCCAAATAAAAGCAAATTCACTGGAATTTGAAACATGAAATGTTAACTCATCCTTAATTCTAAGGGCTGTTTGAGCAATTTTTTTCCAGAATTTGGGAGCATTGGAAGAAGAGGGCTTCCAAGGGGAGATGAATTTGGCTTTGAACCAGTGTGTGAGCATGTTTTGATTGTTGTAGAACCTGCCAATAATAGAGCAGCAAACCCCAAAATAAAGAGCCTCAATTGAAGGTATGCCAAGACCACCCTTGGATTTAGGAAGAGTAACAGATTTCCAAGAGATGAAATGAAGCTTCCTCTCGGCTAAGTTGTTGTGGAATAAAAACTTAGCACAAAGTTTGTTAATAGTCGCGCAGCAACTTTTAGGTATGATGGATCCCCTGATCCAATACGCAAGAGTGTTGGAGATAGTGAATTTGAGGAATTGAACCCTACCTGCAAAAGAAAGAAACTTATTCTTCCAACCTGCAAGTAGAGCAGAAATTCTGCTCAATAGAGGTTGGAAGTGAGAAATTTTAAGTCTTTTAACAGATATGGGGATGCCCAAGTAGGAGAGGTGGTGGTTGACATTAAGAATTCCAAGCTCTTCACATATCAATTGATTTTCAACACTTTGATGAGAAAAAATGATGGCGCTCTTATTGGAGTTAATGTGAAGTCCAGAAAAAGCTCCAAAGGTCTGCAAGCATTGATTTAGCTGTCTGGCATTATGAATAGATGATTTCCCAACCACTAAAAGGTCATCAGCATACATCAGATGGCTTATTTGTACATTTTTGCAATGAATGCCTTGGAAATTTTGAGTGTCGGAAAGGAGTTGGGAGAGACCATCCATTGCAATACAAAAGAGGAGAGGAGATAATGGGCATCCTTGCCTGAGACCCGATGTGGAATTAAAAAAACCTTCAAGGGAACCATTTAAACAGATAGAGAAGTGAACCTCACTAATACAGCCCTTGATCCAATTAACAAAGGCAATAGGGAATCCCTTCTGAGCAAGTCTGGAAATAATAAATTCCCTCGAAACTGTATCAAAGGCCTTTTTGATATCAAGTTTAGCACCAAAATATTTCTCCTTTCCCTTAAAATCTCTCAAAATGTCAGCAGCAAGAATGATGTTATCAGTGGAGCATCTATTAGTAATAAAGCCAGATTGGCTATCATGAATGATATATGGGAGGACCACTTTCATTCTATTTGCCAAAGTTTTAGCAACAATTTTGTATAAAACGTTACAAAGGGAGATAGGTCTATAGTCGTTTATATTGGCAGCATGCGAACATTTTGGTATTAAAGCAATAGCCGTAGCCTTAACACCTCTCGGCAAAGATCCCTTAGAGAAAAAATTGTTTACAGCATTAAAGACTTGCAAACCAATAACATGCCATGATTTTCTATAAAATGCATAAGTAAAACCATCAGGACCAGGAGCAGTATTCTCATTCCCATCAAAAACAGCCTTTTTAACTTCTTCAAGGGACAAAGGAGCAACAAGCAAATCAATGAGGTGATCGGGGACCATTTTACCCGGAGGGATATTGTGAGGAAGTTGAATATTGGTATGATTTGAGTTGTATAACCCTTCAAAGTGCTTAATTATGGCTCTAGAGATGTCACCAAAAGAAGTAAAGTGACCTTCAACAGTAGTGATCTCCTTAATGCAGTTCTTATTGTTGCGACTTCTAATTTTAGCATATAGAAAACCCAAATCATCTTCTCCCTTAGTAAGCCATTGAGTTTTAGCACGTTGAGATAACCAAGAAGTCCAGTTAGCATGTAATGAGGCCATCTCCTCATTAATACTCTTGAGATTTTGATTTAACTCCAAGTCAAGAGGTCTATGTTGAAGCTCAGCCAAACAAAAGTTTTGTTTACTTTTAACCTCTAATAAAGCATTAGAAAGAAATGATGAAGATGCCCAATTTCTGTTTTTCAAAATTCTCTTGAGGAGTTGTAAGCTATGTTGGAAGGATGCCATAGGACTTCTAGCAGATCTAGAAGAAAAGGCATTAAACACATCATCCCAAAAACCTGCCATATTCATCCAATAATTCTTGAACATAAACCTAACAGATAGAGGTTTGTCATGATTAGAGTTGAAAACTAAAGGAGAATGATCAGAGCCATAATGAGATTCCACATAGTAGAAGGCAGTGGGGAGAAAATCCAACAATGCATTATTCACCAAAACTCTATCCAATTTAATATGGATAGGATAATCCGCCCGTTGGTTAAACCATGTGTAAAAAAGACCCGTAGAAGAAAGGTCATGAACCCCACATTTAAAAATAATGATGTTAAGTTCACCCAGTCTACTATTGGAAACAGAAGTACCCCGAGCCTTTTCATTTTCAAATCTGATACAATTGAAGTCGCCCAAAATAACCCAAGGTTGATCCATATTAATAGAAATAGCAAAAAGAGCCTCCCAAAGATTTTTCCGATCTTCCATGGAGTTAAAAGCATATATAACAGTAAGAAAAATCGGTGGGAATGAACCCACAGATAAGATACCATGAATAAATTGCGGAGAGGAGGATATTTTAGAGAAGGAGATAACCGAATTATCCCATTTGATCCAGATACGACCCACAGAAGAGTCCTCAAAGTTGTGACAACTATCTTCACTGTCAAAGAGCCGGTGCTTGCGTAAAAACCAAGGGTCCATAACATAAGAAGAAGAAATTTTGGCTTCCAAAATACAAAGTAACTTAAGATGATGAGAGCTGATAAGAGACTTGCAAGAACTCACAGTTTCAGGGCTGTTAAACCCCCTGACATTCCAACAAGCTAGTTTAGGTAAAGACATTAGAATTTTTTGCTGTTGGCCTTCTTGGCCGACTTTCCTTTCTTAGATTTGGATAGATCAGGAGACTTTTGTTTAACCACAGTGGATCTAGTGTTGCGACTTTTCTTGTCCGAGGAATGCAATTGACCAGAATCATCACAGGCATTGGATGAGGAAGCCAATTCTGAATCAGAGACAGAGTCCACAGAATCTGGGAGAAGGTGATCTTCATTATGCAATGAGGCAAATTTGTTTAGGAGAGGTATCTTAGGAGGCAACACCAAACGGGGCGAGGCAGGTTGCCCGTTAGAGGAGGATTCCTCTATGGGAGTGTTGAGGTTAGGAATCGGGTGGGGATTAGTCAAGATGGTGGGAGGATCAGAAGTAGGTGGAGGGATAGGCTTATTTTGAGGTAAAGAGGATTCAGGAGGTATCAACACCTGAGATGGAACGAGGTTAGCTTCATTTGAGGTAGGTTTGGGAGGTGGCAAAATAGATTTTGATCGATGGTTTCTGGAGGAGCGTTGTCTGGAGGAACTACGTCCACGATTTCTCGGTGGTTGAGGGGGAATGACAGGTTGAGGGTTCGGGTTTTTTGGGCAGAGAGAGAACGGATGAATGAATGAGCCGCAACCTTCACATTTATCCGGTTTCCAATCATAAATAACTTTTAAAACCAAATCCTCACCTTCGATTTCAAGAGGGATTTCGTCGGGGAGAGCCGAATCCTTAGAGATGAGGACACATACCCTGGCGTATGTCAGTCTGGAACGGGTAGCCGTGAGATCATCCACCGATATCGGGATACCGATGTAGCTAGCGATCTTTGAAATACCAGTAGGAGTCCAGAGAACAAGCGGGAAATCCACAATCTTTATCCAGATGGGGATCGGAGCATCCTCGTCTCTCTTAGGCTTGAATTTTGGCGACCAGCGTTGCAAAATAAATGGTTTGCCCAGGATGAACCAAGGTCCCCCCGAAAGCACCATTTCTAGGTCTTCCGCTGTGGTGAACTTGAGCAGAAAGAAGCCATCGGCTAGGGAGAGAAGAGTCAAGGAACCTTTAAGAGGCCAAAGCTTTAACATGGATTTTAGAAGTCTTTCATAATAAGGACGAGGGCCCAACGAGTACCCGATAAGAGACGAAGTCCAAATGTTTTTCCCCTCCGACAAATCATCTGCCTTAAATGAAAGCTTTTGAGTCGGGTTGAAGAAGGAAACAGGGAAGCTGGCGGGCTTGGAAGAGGAGGAGACAGAGACATTAGCAGCATAAGAAAGTCCCCCAGGCAAAGGACCTAGCACAGAGGTGGAAGGGAGGCGTGGAAAATCTTGCGGAGAGGCAGCCATCTTAGGAGGGAGAAGCCCTCCTAAGCCAGCGGCGAAGAGAAAAACCCCAGCGGCGCAAACCCTAGCAGAGCGAGCTGCTTGATTCTTACGTGCGGATTTTTGACGGAAGTTCTCGCACTTTACTGTCCTTTGATACGGTGCCTTTTGGCTACCATATTAGTTGCACGGCGAACAATAGAATAAAAAAATTCATTTAAAAATTTATTGATGATGTGACGTGCATCGCTGTTCGTGCGTCGACGGGAAACTCGGGCGCTCCTCTCTCAAGCAAAAGATCTTCTCTGCTCACTGCTCTCTTCTCCCTCTAACTGTTGCAGCAAAATAACTCGCAGCTTTAATAGTATTATATTTATTAACTTTATTATAAAACTAAAAAAGCTCAGCTCAGAAAGTAAAAGCCCGAAGAAAATAAAAGGCAATCGAATGGCTACATAGCTATATGTACTGTTTGCTCCAGGCTCGACGTCACGCCCATTAATTATTTCTCCGGTTTTTTTATATATTTCTTACAAATACATTATATGGGTGACCATACTTTCAATCATTATATTTATACATATAATGATATAAATAGTTAATACGTTCATGTTATACTTTTTTTTTATCTTATGAAATTATATTTACTTCACTATTTATGAATATATTACTACAAAACATTCTCTAAATATCAATAACCAAAAAAATTTAATGGTTAATTGATAAATATAAATATAAGTATTTTAATGCTACATTGATAACAATATTTTTAACAAAATTAGAAAACAAAATTTCTAAAATTTAGATAAGAGGTTCTTTATTTTATGCATCATAAATTACTATTAATATTCTCCAACACAGATTAAATATATAATAAATCATATAATAATATTATTATTTATTCTTTCAAACAATTTTTATCATTTTTAATATAGTTGTTAATGATTTAATCTTTCAATTTTAATAAAAAAAATCATCAATTCAAAATTATTTGATCTAATTTCTAAAAATTAATAAAAAAAACAATAAGTGATCAAAGTTATCTTGAATAGATACATGTATTCAATGCCAGTATATAAATTACGTAAGTTTATGTGTGAGAATTTTTAGCTTATGAATATCAGATAAACATTCACAGAAATAATTATATAATTTATAAACATATAAATTTTAATTTATATTTTATAATTATTAAGCATGTTTCTATCCAAGTTGTTCAATATTAATCACGAATGTTAATACAAATATCCGATTAATGTACTCATTTGAAAGATAATAATAAATAATTAATTAGATGTTAATTATGATCAAATGAAAGTTTGAAACGTGGCATATATTAATAACCAAGATTCCACTCGTCTCTCTCTGTCCCAATCTCTCTCCTATTTCTTTCCTCATCCTAATCATGCGATTAGCACTCGATGACGTACGCCAAATCCTACCACTAAATCTGCTCTCGCTTCTCTCTCTCTCTCTCATCTCATTTTGATCTTTTGATGGAAAATTTTAGCTGTAAATTAAAAGATTTAAATCTTACATTAATTATGAGAGTTTATCTTAATTACCTTAATTGTCCCCCTTTTAAGTTTTATCTATCTATCTTTTTAATTTACTAAAATGCCACTGCAACAACTAACGGCTGCAATTTTGCAGTCGCGTTTCAGGCCCCACGTGCGTCGTCGTCCCTACAGCAGGTCGTGATGCAGGCCCCACCATCTTTTGTTAAATTCACTAAAAAAATTTCGTGTCAAATCTTTATTATTATTTAAATGGCGCCGCGCCAAATAGATATCATCAATCATAAAAATTAATTTATTTGATTAGATTGTGATAAAGAAGCTATAAAAAATAATTATAAAAAACGAATACAAAAACTTAACTTCCTCAATAACAAAATAAAAGTGTAAATATAGAAAATTAGAAGCTAAATAAGTTTAAAAATCCTCAGATTTTCAATAGAACATCTAAAGAACAAAGTCATGCGGATTCTGTCTATGTTAATGCAAAAATAGGCAATCTTTTTTTATATGTGATGATAAGACCAACAAGTATCTATTAATGCTCAAGAAGTAAAAAAACTAGTGAGTTTTTTTTTTTTTGTTAAAACCCATCACCGGGCCAACACGTTAATATCAAAAAAAGGTACAATTCCTTAAAAAGACATCCAGCTCCCTACTGCTCAGAAGAGTCACAAAAAGATAAACTAAAAAAAGTCCTATGAGCCGGTGGTCTTTACTAAGCAAAATTACACGAAAAAATTCAAAACCTAGCCTAGGGCGGCCGAGAGGTTGCGCCCAAAAAAAGAAAGTCTCAGGAACGAAAATCAACTCGAGCCTTCCTTCATAAAGAAAAATCGTCATTCCAAAGGAAACATCCTCCCAAATTTGAAAATAAAAATTGCACCAGAATCCGTTAACGGAGCTATATTGTCTGTAACATGTACAAAAAATATCCAAAATACTCAAGAAATGACAAGTAGACAAAAGAGAACACATAAAGGACTGACAGTAATAAAATTCAAGAAAAGTATCATAGCACATAAGCAAAAAGATACAATTACAGTTAAGTAAAATTAATGAAAGACTAGGCAAAGGATGCTGGAATGGCCAAAACCGAAGCCACCAATAATTACAAGCCAAGAGAGTATAGACCATAATGAACCACAACTTCCCTACTCTCCAAAGTTCATTAACAACAAGCCAACCACACAGCAGATAGTGACCAGAAATATAAACAACAAGGCAACCAAGATAGAGAAAAGCCACCACACAGCAGAGTATATGGAGTGGCCAAATCGAAGCCACCAACAATTAATAGTAAGAAGAGTATAGAACATAATGAACCACAACTTCCCGCATTATGATGATAGATGACCGAGTTGAACTACACAAAAATATTAAAAATCATCATTAATATTATCTCTTAAAATAGGTTTTTAGATTGTGAGGCCTATGAAAAATCAACATTGAACCCCATAACATGAGCCTCATGAACAAAAAATAGATCGAATAGTATAATCAATCATAGAGCTAAATGACGGCTTATTTTCTTCACCATAATCTCACAAAAATATCCAAAAAATAAAAAATAAACTAAGATTTAGCCATATATGAACATGAAATATCCAAAAGAACATAGTAATAGAGCGTGTAACAGGTGAATGTTCAAACAAGAGACATCCCGATTAATAAATTTGTAATGCCAACGACCAAAAGAAGCCATATAAGAAAAATTATATCCATTAACAATTCAATAGTAAAGCAATCGAAGCTCGTGTACTAGCAACTCATATAAGTAGTAATTAAGAAATCATTAGCCATCTCAACAAATAGATCCAATTATAGTTGGACAGATGAACCTAGCAAAATGAATTTAGCGTACATGTAATAATAAATTAATTGCCAACTTAGCAAGAAACAACAAAAATAACAATTGATGAATCACCAAAAATCACATTGAACAAATATGAATTACGAGATGAGCTAAATTACACAAAAAATGAAATAATTCAAGCATAAATCAGCCCGAATAGGGCCTAAAGCATATTTGAAAATTAGATGACTAAATGATATCAAAATTTAGCACCTTTAAAGTTGAATCAAGTGGCTCAATAAAATGCATCCAACGAGCTTAAGATTGCTTTTTTTTTTTAACGAGCTTAAGATTGCTTGATTATGACATCATTAAGATAATAAAATCATGAACAAATGCTTCATGATCAAGGGAATCAACGTGTCGTCTGATGGAGTGCTCCATATGTTCTCTATATTTACGGAATATGTCACTCCCAAAATTTATAAAAAAGCTTCCACTCCCTAGATGAAGGGGACCCTTCATGAGAGATTGAAGAGAGTTCTGAGGCTTAAAAAAATCTCAGAGATCCACCATGGCACCATCACTAGAAAACCATTCCTAATCGACCACCATAGGGCTTTTATTGCCCTACAACAACCATCAAACCTTCTTTGTTTGTCCAGCACTGTCCTTCTTCATTCGATCGCCATCATCAAACCTCCAATGCTCAACCGCTACCATCGAACATCCACCTGTGGATTGTTATCTTTAAACTTTCAAACCTTCGTCTCTCAACCACCGTTGTTAAACCTTTCACTGGTCAACCACGATCGTTAGACCACCATCACCCAACTACAATCCTTACCACTATCACCCAATTATGTTCTTCAAATCACCATCACTCAACTACAATCATTATGACCTTTATCGCTCATTGACTGAAGGTCTACTATCACCCGACAATAGTTTATCCGACCAGAGCATCTAAGTTCCATTTATTTAATGAAAATCATCAAAAGTAACATATACATCAAAATATCTTATTATGTTCATCATTCCTCAAAAAGTAAATTTACAATAGCTAGAAGTTCAATTAATATATCATTTTACATTTCTATGCACTTAACTATAAAAGAATAAAATTAAAATATATAGACTAAATTTGAGATTATGAAATCAAATCAATCCTCACTCCATTGGATCTTGAACCCTTCCTAAAAATTATATAAAAATTATAGAGTGAGCTAACAACTCAGTAGTTAACCAAAATCTATAACTTCAATCAATGCACAATAGTAGAATCCGTATGCATTTAATCATTCAATTCAATTCAGTATAAACATGTAATATATATAATAAGTATCAACTAATATGAACAACATCGTTTCATATGAGTAAAGGCAAACATTATAAACAATATAACTTGAAATCACTTATTAGTAATGATATAAAGGATAAATGTATTTTGTCATTTGTATAACTATCACTACAAGAAAGTTAGCATTTTATGGTGGATTTACGATGAAATTTGTAGTGGATTTTTCCCCCTAAATTAACAAAGGACTTGCTATTGAAATTTTTGTTCCTTTTAGGTAAATCACTGAACTATTTGTTGACCATAGGCTTCAAATAAGGGAAGAGCCATTAAGTCAAAGGTCAGAGAACAAGTATAGTTTGCTTTTTTTTCCGAGATATTGAAAATCAATTACGGTCTTATTTTCTAGCACATAAGCAAAAGAGAACGCATAAAGGACTGACAGTAATAAAATTCAAGAAAAATATCATAGCACATAAGCAAAAGGATACAATTACAGTTAAGTAAAATTAATGAAAGACTAGACAAAGGATGCTGGAATGGCTAAAACTGAAGCCACCAATAATTAAAAGCCAAGAGAGTATAGACCATAATGAACCACAACTTCCCTACTCTCCAAAGTTCATTAACAACAAGCCAATCACACATCAGATAGTGACCAGAAATATAAACCACAAGGCAACCGAGATAGAGAAAACCCACCACACAGTAGAGTATATGGAGTGGCCAAATCGAAGCCACCAACAATTAATAGTAAGAAGAGTATATAACATAATGAACCACAACTTCCCGCATTATGATGATAGATGACCGAGTTGAACCACACAAAAATATTAAAAATCATCATTATCTCTAAAAATAGGTTTTAGATTGTGAGGCCTATGAAAAATCAACATTGAACCCTATAACATGAGCCTCGTGAACAAAAAATAGATCGAATAGTATAATCAATCATAGAACTAAGTGACGGCTTATTTTCTTCACCATAATCTCACAAAAATATCCAAAAAAATAAATTGAGATTTAGCCAGATATGAACGTGAAATATCCAAAAGACATTGTAATAGAGCGTGTAATAAGTGAATGTTCAATCAAGAGCAGGGGCGGAACCAGTTTCAATTTTAAGGGAGGGGGGGGGGGCGCGGGGGGCAAGTAATAATATAAAAATAATTAAATATATATATATACAAGTTATTTAAAAAAATTAAGCAAGAAAATTAAAAAAATGTAATTAAATTGTCATGAAAAACACAAAAGAAAATATTAAAACTAAATTTGAAGAAATATATAGACATTTTAGGACAAGTTAGGACAAAATAATTTTTTAGGGGGGGGGGCAAAAAAAATTTCTCTATAAAAAAAAAATACTCTCTTATAAAAAACTTTTTTTTTTTTGAGGGGGGGCAATTGTCCCCCCTAATAATGAGCTGGTTCCGCCACTGATCAAGAGACATTTGGATTAATAAATGTGTAATGCCAACGACCAAAAGAAGCCATATAAGAAAATTATATCCATTAACAATTCAATAGTCAAGCAATCGAAGCTCGTGTACTAGCAACTCATATAAGTAGTAATTAAGAAATCATTAGCCATCTCAACAAATAGATTCAATTATAGTTGGACAGATGAACTTAGCAAAATGAATTTAGCGTACATGTAATAATAAATTAATTGCCAACTTAGCAAGAAACAACAAAAATAATAATTGATGAATCACCAAAAATAACATAGATTGATCAAATATGAATTACGAGATGAGCTAAATGACACAAAAAATGAAATAATTCAAGCATAAATCAGCCCGAATAGGGCCTAAAGCATATTTGAAAATTAGATGACTAAATGATATCCAAATTTAGCACCTTTAAAGTTGAATCAAGTGGCTCAATAAAATGCATCCAACGAGCTTAAGATTGCTTGATTCTGACATCATTAAGATAATAAAATAATGAACAAATGCTTCATGATCAAGGGAATCAACGTGTCGTTTGATGGAGTGCTCCATATGTTCTCTATATTTACGGAATATGCCACTACCAAAATTTATAAAAAAGCTTCCACTCCCTAGATGAAGGGGGCCCTTCATGAAAGATTGAAGAGAGTTCTGAGGCTTAAAAAATCTCAGAGATCCACCATGGCACCATCACTAGAAAACCATTCCTAATCGACCACCACTGGGCTTTTATTGCCCTACAACAACCATCAAACATTCTTTATCTATCCAGCACTGTCCTTCATCATTCGATCGCCATCATCAAACCTCCAATGCTCAACCGCTGCCATCGAACATCCACCTGTGGATTGTTGTCTTTAAACTTTCAAACCTTCGTCTCTCAACCACCGTTGTTAAACCTTTCACTGGTCAACCACGATCGTTAGACCACCATCGCCCAACTACCATCCTTTAACCACTATCACCCAATTATGTTCCTCAAATCACCATCACTCAACTACAATCATTATGACCTTTATTGCTCATTGACTAAAGGTCTACTGTCACCCGACAATAGTTTATCCGACCAAAGCATCTAAGTTCCATTTATTTAATGAAAATCATCAAAAGTAACATATACATCAAAATATCTTATTATGTTCATCATTCCTCAAAAAGTAATTTTACAATAGCTAGGAGTTCAATTAATATATCATTTTACATTTCTATGCACTTAACTACAAAAGAATAAAATAAAAATATATAGACTAAATTTGAGATTATGAAATCAAATCAATCCTCACTCCATTGGATCTTGAACCCTTCCTAAAAATTATATAAAAATCATAAGGTGTATTTACGATGAACTTTGTAGTGGATTTTTCCCCCTTAATTAGCAAAGGACTTGCTATTGAAATTTTTGTTCCTTTTAGGTAAATCCCTGAACTATTTGTTGACCATAGGCTTCAAATAAGGGAAGAGCCATTAAGTCAAAGGTCAGAGAACAAGTATAGCTTGTTTTTTTTTCCGAGATATTGAAAACCAATCACGGTCTTATTTTCTAAGCTAGATTATGAAGATTTTTTTTCAAAATCAAAGGGTTTTATAATTGATTTTGCACCAAATAGACAGAAGCACTAGAACACCATTGATGTAGGAGAGAAACCGTGTTATACCATCTCCATAATGGCTTGGTTTTATATGGCCTGTGAAACATGTTCAAAGATGGCAAATCGAGGTCCCATGCGAACAAGGAAGGATTGTAGTTTCCAAAAGATGATGCGGATCTTATTTTTAGCCCGTAATAATGCAAGAAATTATTATTAAAGCTATTAGTTTTCTTTCTAATGCCTTTATGAATGGATATAAACCTTAGCTAAAGTAAAACTTGTTTCATGCAAATAGTAAACTTGCTCAACTGAGATATATATGCTTGATCTTTATTTTCTCTTTCTTTTTTTTATAACAATTTGTGTCGCCAAATTAAATTTCAATAAAATAAGATAACATACATCTTAAACAAGATACAAAGAACTTAGAAAAGATCAACACAAATTATAAATAATATTTTTAAAAATAAAATAAGATATTATTTATATTAAGACAAAAAATATCTCCTAATAATCAGACAAAAAAATCCAACAAATAAAAATATTTACAAATATTTAATAATTAAATTAGATTTATCTAATAATTTTTTTAATTATTTAAAAATTAATTACATTGAATGATAATATATAAGTTGTGAAGTTAAAAATATATATTATAAAAATAACCTGTTATGATAGAACAAAGTTTTTTTTTTTTATCACTATATATATATATATATATAACATTAATTTGGCTTAATATGTTGATTAATGGAGCAAAATGTCGTTATAATATCTTTATTTAAACCATATTTTTGTTCACTTTTGCTTGGAAAGAGTGATATTTCTCTCCCTTTAATGTTTAAACTATATGCTTGGCTGCGAGGGAGAAGGCTAATACAGCTAAGTCTCTCCCTCCCTCCCTCCTTTTAAATGTTCCTTTTTTTTTTCTCTGCGGAGTTATATTGACATTATTGACAAGACATATATGTCGGTCTTTGCTAATATTATTTTTTTCTTTCTTTTGAAGATATGATGGTTTTTGGAGTGTTCACGAAGATTTTAAAAAAAAAGGATAAAGAAATGAGAGCTGTTCTTTGACCGTGCCTTAGATACAGGCTGCAAACTCAAGCTTGCATTTTTTTTTTAATTTCCTATGAACATATATAATTCAACTCAGCTACCTTCTAATTATTAATTTCACATTAGTAGTAATACCATCCTGTCATATTAATGTATCTAATTTGCTTCAACAGCATTTAAGATTTTTACGGCCAGTTAAGATAGCTTGCACTGTCTTCCATAAGCGCTTTTAAAATTTCTTGTAGAATTTCTAATTTTTTCACTTTTTTTTCTAAGATTATTGATTTTTATGCTGAATATTTTCGTGAATTTAAATTTGAAGTATATATGTCCTAAGTACAATAATCTTTGTTTTTTTTTTCTCAACTTTTCAGGTCTACAGAAGATACAGATTATACTATCAGCAGGTGGAAACTGTTATCGCATCATTTGAAACAGTAGCAGGCTTAAACACTGCTGCTCCTTATATTTCCTTTGCTCTGAAGTCCATGTCCAAGAACTTCAGAAGTCTAAAGAACATCATATCTAATCACCTTAATAACCTTGGCAAGATTAATGTAAAAGAAGGCCTTGGTAAAGGGGAATTTACTGGTTTTGGCCTCACAGCTACTGGTGATCATTCATGTACACAAAGAAGGAATTCTTCTCTTAGTTTTGGCCAGACACAAGTTTGGAGACCTCAAAGGGGACTACCCGAACGAGCAGTTGCAGTGCTGAGGGCTTGGCTTTTCGAACACTTCTTGCATCCGTAAGTGATTAAGCTAATCTCTTTTGAATTTAAGAAGATGTCTTCATTGATGTTCTCTGATTCTCAAAGTTGTGATCATGATGTTTCTTATTTTTAGTCCTTGAACATTTGAATGCTAAGCTCGTGATTTTTTTTTCTTGATTCTTTGATCTTGATCTTGTTTTTCTTCATAAAACACTAAGGGATTACAATTTCTGTCAAGGCAACTGAGATTATTTGTTTGATAGTTCCATGTCAATTGGTAGGATGACATAAAGGAGACTTTGTGATGTGAAGGCTAATAATTAGATGTATCCTTGAGCATGATAAGGTATATCGCCATATATGGTCACTGATCACCTTATGGAATGGCAATTCAATCCATATTTTTTTCGTCTGCAACTTACATAACAATAACAGCATAATCATTTTTTTTTGTTTTTAAATTTGTTGCTTATTAATTACAAAATACAAATAAATATATTAATCTATACAAAAGAAAAAATTTAAACATTAATAGATTTATAAATTTATATGAAATATTACAAATCTATAATCTCAAATACAAATATGAGAATTTATATAATGCTGTTAATATCATAATTTTTTTCTCACCCAAATAAAAAAGTATCCCAAAATCAACAAAATACATCACAAAAAGTTTCAAGAAAAGGAAATGTAACAAACCTATAAAACAATAAATAATAAAAATGAAAAGCTTCAAGGGTTGTTTGGTTTGCTAAGAAAAGAATGCATCATAAAATAGAAATAGGGTTTTTGGTTTGTTGAAAAAAAAAGTGTAAAATTTCAGTGAATTTTTTTTTTACTCCCAAGTTCTTTTTTAATGTATTAGAACTCGCTCAATTTTGTCATTGCCTGCCATAATAGCCCAACACCAGCCATTGTCGACCTCCTACGATGGCCACCATAGACACCTGTCAGTGCCAACGCCGGTCATTGCAATTGTTGTCAGTCAACCATTTTTAGCCACCACCATCATCATCATGCTTACCAATTATCAGAGGCCACCCACTTGTTGACCACCGCCGCCCGCCGTTGATTGCCACCACCGACCGCCGCCGTCAGCCACCACCATCAATTACTTTACATTGCATTCATTTTACTTCAAGTTAAATATAAAAAATGATATTTTGCATTTCTTTTACACTCATTCAAAAAACTTCAAGCATTTCGAATGAACTAATTCTTTTTACACAATTTTTTTTCTCTTAATTTGTTTTTTAGCAATCCAAACAATCCCTAAAAGAAAAGATCGACTCAACATCACATAAGACTTGGCATGACCAGCTCAAGTTTATAGAAAATATTCATAAGCATTGACAATGATTATTGAAAGCGCATGCTTGAAATCCTTAAAATCATAGTAAAAGTTCAACCGGGGCAAATTTTGAGATAAGCCAAAATCATTGAGCACTTCCAAGATGCAACAGATCCAAATATAAAGAAAGGTAGAGTTTAAACAAACCCAACGCAAAACTGTAACCTTCAAAAGATCGGAAAAGCACAGACAAACTAAAAAAGAATAATTTATAAAATTCACTAAACCAAAAAATAAAATCAGGCATAGGGAACTAGTAGCTTAAAGGAAGAAGAATCAAACTAACACCCAAATGATGATCCATAAAAAAAAGCTTCAGACAAGAATCACATGAAAGAAACCAGCGATCATGAACTAAGGCAACAATTCCAACAAAGAGAGCAAATAAAGAAAATATTAATGTTAATTAGCTCTGAAATATAAGTTTTAACTTTTAGATTGAAAATGAGTTCAACCTCTGGTGCAATAGACCCAAACTTTGTCCTCTTTAATCAAAACTCAATCTGATGTTAATTGTTTTGAAAACACCACGAAACTGCTCTTAATTATGTCAGCTCTGCAGTTGCCGACTCGTGCTATATTGATCTAAATTAAGTAATCATATATTTCTTATAAAATTTGTGTTGTGGCTTGATACTTTCTGCGAAGGTATAAATTTCTTTCCTCGATCTTTTGTGAATTAGAAGTTAAAAGCTTTGATCTTCTTCATTGCAGGTACCCTACTGACACAGACAAGCAAATGCTGGCTAAGCAAACAGGCTTGACAAGAAATCAGGTAATATAAACATCTTCCAAATTTCAAACAGTGCTGTTGAGTATTAAATAGTTCATTTACTCGTTTAAGTTTACTAGCAAGGGGTCAAATTTATAAATCCTCATTCCTTAATGTTCCTTGCTGAATATCACAACAACATTGATTAAAACTATTTGATCAAATCTGTTTACACGAACAATTTCTATTCTATTTATCTTCAGTTTGCACATTTCTCATTGTAATCTTCGATATATTATCATTTTATTTATTTGTCGTAAGGTTGCAGTATTCACTGCATTTACAAAGTATTGAAAATGATTTTGTGCATTTACTAATTATTGAAAATGATTTTGTGTAGGTCTCAAACTGGTTTATAAATGCAAGAGTAAGACTCTGGAAACCAATGGTAGAAGAAATACACAACCTGGAAATGCATCAATTACAGAAAACAGTGGGAACTGATCATAATGTTCAAAACCCAACATTTCAAGCTTCACAGCCATCATCATCATCTGCAGCAACTTCTTCCAGCAACCGAGCGCCCGTAAACAACTTCATGCAAAGAACCAGCCAAAACCAATCTTACCGGCCTGCTAACATCGAACAGCTTCCTCACATCGAAGAACCTTACAAATTCATATTCGACAATGATTTTGCATGCCACAGTCAGCCCGTTGGCGTTGAAATTGGAGGAAATTCTGTTGTTTCTCTCACTCTTGGCTTGCCGGAGCCATTGTCAGTGAATGTTGCTCGACGATTCGGCTTAGAAGAGTGCAGCAATGCTTATGTTCTTGGTGGATTTGAAGGGGGGCAAGAGAGACACTATGGAAAGGAAATTGGTGCACATCTGCTTCATGATTTTGTTGGATGATTTTGATCAAGTTGTTTTGCATAATTAATGAATAACCATTTCAATACTAGTCTTATATACTACATATGATTATAACTTTAATTATATTCTGGCCTGGTGCTAAATAAGTGATGCCACCATTGCTGTGCAAAGGGTAAGTATTGCTTCCTGTTTAGGGTTTAATTAAGCCAGCTTGCTTGTATTCTTGATCCTCAAGTTCAAAGCAAAATATTGATTAGATAAAATATAGATGTTTAATTCACATCATTGTTTGATATTGTGACCAGGCCTATATCTATATACACTTGAAGTTGTATTATATATGCCATCATTTTGGCCTAAATAATAATGGCAATTATCCGTTATCTTATAATTTTATTTGAGTTTAATATTTCTAGTTTAATTTTTATTATGTTATGTACCAACAAAAAGATATTTGTGTTTTTAATGGTACAGTAATATATACCATTTCTTCTTGAAAATTAAAAGAGGCAAAGCTGCTGATGTTTGAAGGCTGTAATATTATATTAACCTTGCTCGACATGGCATGGCATGGCAATTACTCTAAATACATAATTATCTCCAAATTAGTCGCTATAATTAGTGATATTAGGTGTCGACGTGAATATTATAAGCTTTTTGGTGTTATTGGTCAGTCGGATACGTGAATATGGAATACTGAAGATAGGTGAATTGTCTTTTGTGCAAAAGAAAGAAAGTGATAAGCGAAGTTAACGTTATTTTATTTGCTGGAAATGACATGCATGCACTGTTATACATAGAATAATTGGCTTTCTCGGAAATGACATTCGTGAAGTGATGTAACTGAGTTTTGGGATTTGATTAGTGGACATAAATTTAAACTATATTTCTTTCTTCTCCATTTTTTAGTGGAGAACTGGAGATGATAAATGCTTCTATTTAATTAATTTATTTTTTTTGTTGGGATGATTCAATATTCAGTGGTGAGGACTGAGGAGGGTCTTTATTGGTTAAAAACCTTGTTGATATATATTATAATAATCTTTAAAGTTAAATAAATTTAAGAGTTTTGTACTGCCGGATATGAAATTTTTATGTGAAAAGTAATTAAAAGTACTTCATTTTAGTTTTTATCAACTGATGTAACTGAGTTTTGGCATCGGATTAATGGAGATTCAATTAAAGTATATTTTTTTTGGCTGTTCTTATTTTTTAGTGGAAGATGAATGCTTTTTAAATCTCTTTTAAATTAATTATATGCACTTGTTGTTGTTGGGAAGAATGAATGATGAGGATCCTTATCCAATGCGCGCGGGTGAAAGAATCCATTGAGCTTATTAATTTATATTTTTTGGGAATAATGTTAATTAATACTTATATTGTGAGAGATGCTTTGAATTTGAGTACTAGAATCATTGCACTGTTCCTACTTCAGATTATTTTAAGCAACTAATTAAATAAAAAAATGTATTGTTCGTTTTATCTTTTAATTTAGTATCCATGTGGATAAATATGAATTGTGCTGCCGACACTAGAGGCAAGAGCTCCGATTATCAATTTATCATCACATTTACGGCCATTTAATACATTTTGGCATGCAAGACTTAATTTTTGTTTATACAATCAAATAAATTTTTAATGAAATAATGTTTAACATTCGGGATGTTAAAAATACATTAGATATCTGGGACGGGATGCCGTTAGAGAGATAATTGGAGTGATTTTGAATACAATAAGGTTTCATTTGAGACAATTTTTTATTACTTTTTGAGAAAAATTTTTAGTACAAAAATTAAAATTTTATTCTCTTACAAGTATTTATCTATCCAATTATTCAATGCTCTTGGTGCTTGTTTCAACCCATAGAAAACCTTCTTTAATGTTAGAACTTTGTCTTCTTATTTTTTTTTAACTTCGTATATTGGTGGTTGTTGAATATAGTCTTCTTTGCCAACAATTAAATTCATGAAAGCCAATTTTACAGCCATTTGATGTAGTCTCCATTTATTTTGAGTTGCTAAAAAATGAGTAGTCTAATTATTTCTAAACGAGCAACAAAATCAAATACCTCATCATAGTTTATGCAAGCAGCTCTTTGGCTATAATCTTTTGCAACTAATCTTATCTAATGTCTTTCAATTTTTTCTTTGGCAATCTTCCTTGATTGTACACCCGTTTCATGCTATTAACCTTGTGTCTCTGAAGAAGTGAAGCTAAGTCATGTGTGGCATTCTTCTCGATTGTATTGATTTCTTCATCCATTATCTTTTCACTCATTGCTTTATATGGCTTCTTGAAAATCGACAGGCTCTTAGTCGATAAAAAGGCAAAAGAGAGTAAGATTTTCTTGATTCTATGTTACCCTATATAGATATCATAAACTTCTGAAACATGATACTCTTTCACTTGAATATTTTTTATTATCTACAGTTGTTGTTACTGGTGGCTGAGTAGTAGGCTCCTAGCTAGCTTGCTTGCTTCATCCTTGGTTGTTCTATATCTTCTTATTCAAATGTATAATCTTTATCATGTGATCCCCAATTTGATTTTCCTTCTTCATCAAATATAACATCTCGGTTAATAATTATCTTTTTAGTTTTTTGATTATATGACTTGTATTCTTTTGAGTTGTTATTACAACTGGTGAATAAACTTCTCACTTTTATTGTCTAACTTACTTTTGTTCATGTCATGTACATGCACATGAGCTATGCTTGCAAAAACTTTTAGAAGAGAGATGTCAAGCTTTCTTCCACTCCTTGTTTCGTATTGAGTCATTCCCCACACACTTCTTGTTGGTAAACGGTTAGCCAAATAAATTGCACTTGAGATTGCTTATGCCCAAAATTCCTTCAGCAACATCTTGCTTTTAAGCATACTCCTCGCCATATTAAGGATGACTTTGTTCTTCCTTTATGCAACTCCATTTTATTGAGGGGATCCTGGAATAATTAGAGACCTACGGATCCCATTAGCATCATTGAATTCTTGAAATTCTTTGGAAGTGAATTCTCCCCCTCGATCTAATTATATAGCTTTGATCTTAAGTCTATTTTTTTTTCTCTACACTAACCTTAAATTTCTTGAATACTCTAAAGACCTCTATTTACTTTTTCAATAAATACACCTATGCTTTTCGTGGAAAATTGTTAAAGAAGAGAAGAAGTTGTTCTTACCAAATTGAGCATAGCTTTATTAGTCCAAAAACATCTTTACGTATGAGTTCTAATTACTTTAGAGCTCTTGAACTTGATTATTTTGAAATCTTTTTTTTCTGAAATGCTTTCCAAGTATACATGCTTCACATTATTGAATGAATATCATATTATTTCTCCAAAATTTACAATCAACTCGAGATATTACTCTTCATATTTGAATGAAAAAAAATATTGGAAATGAATTGATGCTTATTGTTCTTCAAGGGAATAAGGATGTTACATTTTCATTTTACTTCTATTTTTTAAATCATCTCCAAATGGCTCATCGTCACTTATTGATTCATCAAGCTCTATGAACATGCTACTTTTTTCACAGATGTGATTTCTTACTCTAGTGTCAATGTACTATATTACATATTCACATCTTTTATTATCTTTGTAGGCTAACAATAAGGTGTCATCTTCTTCTCTTCTTTCTTCCATTTAGTTGACTCTTTCATGAACTTTATTTTTTTGGCGCTCTGTATTTTTTAGCATAATTCACAAATTTATCACCATTATAACACTTAACTTGATATCTATTGTACCTTGATTTTGAGTGTCCTCTAGCATGCCCTCTTATTGAATTTTGTTCTCTTTCATGATTATTATTGTTGTTGTTAAAATCCATTCCTTGTTCTTTTGTATAACCTAGTCCTTATCCATGACCACTTCTAGACTATTTATGTTATTGTTGTTGATGTTTTCCTCTTTCTTAATAGTCACATCTTCTAACTTCTCACCATTTATTTTTAGTTGATTATAAATGCCAAGGACTTAAGAAAATTAATCGGAGACCATCTCATCTTCTTTCATATGCAAGGAGTCAAATTGCCTTCTTAAGATTTAAAACTTTACCTTTTTAACCTTCTCTTCTCCCTTGTAAGAGACTTGGAGCTTCTCCCAGGCTTGCTTGGCTAATGTAGCACTTAAGGTTTTTTCAAATCCATCATCATTTATTGTTTGATAGATGAGGAAGAGAACCTTCTTGTCTATCTTTATTGAATCTATTAAGCTATATATCCTTCTGTGTTAAGGATAAAGCCAACTCATCGCTTGGCTCATGGTAGCCTTTCTCTATAATCTCCCAAATATCATGAGCTCCAATAAGCGTCTTTGTCTTGATTCTTCAATTATCATAATATCTTGTCTTGAGCATTGGATCTTTGAAGAAAGTCATACCTCCATTCATCATCTTTAGAAAAGAACTTAGCTCTGATACCACTTTGTTGGAATGAGAAGGCTTTTAGAACAAGTAGATGCTAAAGAGAAAAGAGAATATGGAAGAGACTAGTTAGGCTAAGAAGAATATAAGAGAAGATTAAAGAGGCTACAAATTTTATTTCACTTTTTGCTTGGTACTCAAATACATCACTACCATTTATAATAGTAGCACCTCATTAGGATTGTGCCAACACATTTTAATTCAATAGTTACAAATGACTCTCTAGAATACTCTTCTATCTTATATTATAATTGACATTAAAAGTTATCTTAGACTTTTCTAATAATTGCTCTAAAAAAGTTTTAAAGCATCATCTACAATAGACATGGGTGGAGCAGGAATTTTTTTTGCATGGGGACACAAATTAATATTAGCCATTAAATTACTCTCAAAATACAATTTTTATTAAGTGTAATCACATATCATTAGAAATATTTTTAATGAAAATTATAAAAAAAAACATTTAAAATCATATATATGCATTCCCGTTAAAAAAGAAATAGATATATCACTCTCTGTCGTATTATTTATTAAAAATAATAATATTTCTCTTATGGTTATTAATGAATTGAGTTAAAAAATTGTTTTTATACTTAAGGTTTTTTTTTAATTGATTAAATTAAATCTTAGTTTTGAACTATATTTAGATTATTTAAATTTAAATTAGTATAAGATCATAATCTTCCAAATTTTAAATTAATTATTTATTAATTCTAAATTATTTTAATTAGATTAATTTGGCATAATGGTTCACATTTAGTAAAGAAAATTATAAATAATATAAAATTACAAAGTTAATATAATTAAACTAATTAATTTACTTACTTAAATTTATTAAAAATAAATTATCAGTTTCCC